ACTTTACAAATTAATTTTACTCGAGCAACAACGAAAAACACGAGCACTGCAATTCCATCCGAAATATATCTGTACATAGATTATTTACCTGAGGAAAAGTCTTGACAAAATTGAAGTCATGAATCCTCGACGTCGAATGTTAGCCACGCGATTCGGCATAAGAAACACTCACCAACCTTGACAGAACTGACGATATCCAAGGTAATGAGGTCAATATAACGTGTTCCCTTAAATCCATAAAAGCTGGAAAATACGCTGAAATTTCTTGCGGTTCGTAAGCTCCTTCCACGTGCAAGACTGAGCGCAAATATGAATACTAATTTCAAAAATTATTTGTAATTCAAATGAGTTTTCCACTTTAAACGGCGTGTTAAAAATAATCGACACTGAGCTCTTGGGTTAGTTTCGTTACATCAAAAAACCTAGAAGGATGTCAAGCTGAAGGCTGAATTTGGTCAGTCTTGGTAAAGCTCAATGGGGAGGTGCAACTAACTATTTTTGTAATTTTAGAAATGTTTACTCGAACCCAGACGATTTTTGAACGTAGACAATTTGCTTGTTGACCATTTTCTTATTCATTGATGTTACCTGTTTCTCGTTACTATTGGCATTTCGTGTCACAAGATTTCTTCTGAAAACACGCTCCAATTTGTAATTAGACTGGTACTGAATTCAAAACCATAATCCTTCAATAAGATTCTACTTATTTACGTAGAGCTGGTCTTACTTTAACAACTATAAGTTCTGTATGGAGGGGCAACGGTCTTTCTTCAATAAGACATATGTCCGTTTGTTCACACACCGATTTCTGTACGCTACTGTCTTCAATGTATTTCAGCAAAAGCTAGTTTTTCTGTGACCACGAACACTCAAAATAGAAAAACTAACATACCATAGAGGTGTTATTAACACTCAACTTTAGTTCCTTTAGGTTGTCTTTTATGTCTCCTTGGAAAAAAGAAAAGTGTGATGTGACGTTAAACCAAGTTCCTATAAATATTCTTTGGGTCGTGAGTGGGTGCTATTGCTATAAACTTGATATTAATTCAGTTCACAGCGCCTAAACATATCTGTTTCACATCAGAGAAATAGGTGAAGGAACTGAACATTTCCACATCGAAAAATGGTTAAAGTAGCAAGTGACAGGCTCAATTACGGTAAAAGCTTATCTGTTAGAGAAGACCCATTGAGGAGAAAGAAATGGCCGTTTTCTTCTTTCCGAGTCCAGTAACCTGTCCTGTTTTTGCATACACCGATTGAGTGCTTCTCTCTGTGCTTTGCAGGCGACTTTGAAATAAACATAAAACAGGAAAAAAATGTGAATGAAAAGAAGCCATCGACCTATTGCTAATTGACATAAAATTGTGTCGTCGTGACCACGCCCACAAGGAATATTTACTGTCATTGGTTTTGCAGAATGTGTGCCTGTGAGAGTAGAATACCATTTACTAGACTATTTTTTATCTAGGTAATTTAGTGTTAACAACTGGGTAGAAAACGTAAATTAGCCACCGTAAAGGGTAAAAAAGCTGACGTTTCGAGCGTTAGCCCTTCGTCAATCGCTCTGACGAAGGGCTAACGCTAGAAACGTCAGCTTTTTTACCCTTTACGGTGGCTAATTTACGTTTTCAACCCAGTTGTTAACACTAAATTACCTGCTATACTCTCCCACCGACGCAGCACCACAGTTTCTTCAGAAACTTACCCCTTTATTTTTTATCTATACAACAAACCTACTGTATTCCGGGAATTTCGTCAATTGACTATTCAAAGCGTAAAACCTAAGCTATAGGAAATGTAAACTTTTTTATCAGCTTCGCTTGGGCCAGGAAACACATTATTTAAACCCAAATACCTTGGATATCGTCCGTTCCGTCACTAGTGAAGTCAAGAGAATGTTTCCTCGAGGTGGCTGAAGCAAATGGTTTGAATTTGACGACGAAGAAGGATGGATAGATGTCATTTTGTCACGACCTTTTTCAAGGTAAATATCCTACGTAGATGTATATTTTGGATAGAAATGCAGTGTTCTTGTTTCTCGTTGTTGCTCCAGTGAAATTAATTATGAGTTAAAAGTAATACAGAAGAGCGAAGGAGACATGAACACAGCTCAGTATAAGACAACTTTTTAGTAGTAGCAGCCATGACAGTTCTTGACTGAAACCGCGTGACTTTTAGGGCAGCAGCGAGGGATGCGAACACAATTGAAAATGTGCTGATCGCTTAATAACTCATCTATCTTTCATTATTCACAGCTTGTTATTCTTTACACAGTATCATATCAGAATTTTAACGTTAAATGTGGTTTAACGGGTATTGAAACCTACAATCGAAAATGTGGTGGCTCTTATTGAGTCTTTCGATCTCGACATTGATCCTCATCGGCATTCCCAATAAAAAAAGGAGTAACCGTAAAATAAGTATGCACGTTTCACAACATAAATTTCTCTATTTTCTCTCATCAGGACACCGTCAGGATGAGGTTATCGCTCAATCAAGAAATTCAAGCGAGGAAAGGAAAACAAGGTAACTTCCAAAAATGTGAGTTATTTACTTGTTGTTTATTTATTGTAAATTACATTATATTATCTATCATACTATATATATTATAATTTTTTTTGATGCATCGCAACTCGTGAATAAAAATAGCCTAAGTGTAGCCGTACCCTCCCCTCCCCCCCTTCCCGGCGTTTCTCCTTACGGGGGAGGGTACTGCCATACGTGGGCTAGAATGAAAAAAAAGGGCGTGCGAACTTCCATTGAATAAGCTCTTTTTATTGCAAGTCAGTCATTAGATGAAATGATTAATACTGTAGCACTTGTGGTGACCAAAAAAATATAATTCATAAGATTCCAAGGGGTGTTGCTCCAAGCCACGGTTAACGAGGTGCTTAGGGGCTATTTTACAGATCATTGGAGAATAACAGACCAAAGTTGACCGTTTATACGAATCTTTAATCTTGCAGGTAATCGATCACTAATTACAATCAACGATCAAAATCACGATCAATCTCACAATCAATCAATTAATCGATCTGGATATTGGTCCCGCTTGTGCCAAAGGTTTAAGAAACGAAAATACGAAAGTTTACTGAGACTACTCAAAAACTTACGAATAACTGATTACAGGGACGCTAAACTCGCTTCTATATGCGCGTGGTGACGCCGAAAGGTCCGATTACAAAACCAATATATAAACAAACAGATAAACATTGTAACTATTTTCGTATCTACGATCATTCTAAAATTATAAAACTAATCAATAATCAGTTAAATTAAAATGAGCCTTCTGGCTAGTGTCCTTAACAAATACCACTTTCAAAACCAGTCAATTACTAGATTTGCTGTATGTTTTTTTATCTGTAACTTTTTTTCAAAAAGAGTGGCTTTACGTTATTTACCCGGTAATATAATTCATACACTTAAAAGTGACTTCATCACCCCCTACCCCACCCCCACGGTGTCCATTCAATTTCCCTTCTCGCGTATGCTTCCTATTTAATTAAGGGAAAACAACGCAATAAATGAACATTTTGTCGTTTTTCTCACGATTTCGAGACATTAGCAGTTGAATGAATAATCGACTGCTCTACCGTTAGACTCGTACATCTATTTGTAATCATTATTTTATTAGGGAGAATTACTAAATTAGAAAGCCACATTGAAGGTTGCGTTTTGAAAAAAAAATTATTTGGGATGATTATTCATTGCCACCAACGTATGCTATTTAGGTACCTCATTATGAATACGTTTCTTAGATCCTGCTGACGGGAAAAGGACTTTGGAAATATTTCCATTGCAATTAATTTTGAAAATATGTCGAAGATTTTTAAATAAGTGCCACTCCCGCAAAAATACCGCCCCTTTGATATTACCCTTAAGCATCACCACTCGATCTGATTTGAGTCAAAACTAATTTGAATTTCCTTATTGACCAAAACACCTCAAGAGACCTGCAAAAAAGACAAGTGAAAGCTGCCAATGATAGACAATTTAATCAGCGTGCTATTGAAGAAGACACAAAGAGCCGGTTTTATTGCCGAACATTCTCTATAAGGTCACAAAATGTCGCAAATTTCCTTTCTAAAAATCTAGGCAATATGAAAGTAGAGATTTGATGCCAGAAAATTACTGCCACCATTAGGTAGCATTTCTACTTAGTTTGGACGACCTCACTTCAAAATTAATAAAAAATATATCAATTTACGTTCTCTAGGGAGTTTTTTCAAAGAGCTTTGTGTTTAAATGCTATTTTCTGAATGACGGTTTTCTTAAAGACAATCATAACAGGCACGCTTTTGGAAAAAGAAACTCCGACCTTTAACAACTTGAGTCGAATTCATAGCCACAAAGCCGAGATACAATCTAAAAGCATACTTTCTTAGTCAAATTCAGCTCATGGTATGAAGCTGCACAACAAAACAGGCCATTATATAACAAGATGACGCAGAGAAGCCGCGTGCGCTTTGCCGCTGAAAGTTTTCGCGTTCGCCATACCTCTTTCTCGCAATTTCTTCCCTTGGGATTTTATCTAGACAATAAAATCATGATTGTCAAGGTCGTGACAGCTTTGACCGCTGCATAGAAAACTATTGAAGTCACCGTTCCCCGCTGCTGTCACCCGCGGCTTAGGCTGTCATGGCTCAACTACCTTCCTTGAATATTGTCTTGAAGGTAACTTGAAGACAAAGAAACGATAGCAAACTGAATTGAGTAGGAGTATGATTTAGTCTTAAAAAAGAATATAGAGCCAAAATCAGTATCCAATAGAGAGCTTTGAAGGCGTAGAGACACGTCACTTCAACCCATGAAAACTTCCTCTATGTGCAATGTTTTTGTGTCGTTTTATTTTTGTTTCCCAAACAATAGGAAAATGTCTCTCTAATAATTTGAATAAAGCCGATGGTCACCGCTCAACAGCATTTCACTCTGACAAAAGAAAAAGGGACGCTACTGATCTCTGAAAATTATTCGTCTTCTTTGGCACTTAAGCCCACAGCATGATGATATGGTATTGGGCTCTGGGATGGTTTATCACCATTTTGGCTCTCCTTGGAAATGGCTCAGTGTTCTTTCTCATCGTTATCAAACGCAGTCTGCACACAATAACCAACTGGTTTATTTTATCTTTAGCCGTGGCGGATTTCATCGCTGCCCTAACATTTCTGCCAGTGAGATATTTTGCAAACTTCCACTACGATATTGATCTAGGTCACGCTGGTTTGTGGTACAAGATCTGCTTCACATTCCTCTACAGCTCAACAACTAACTTGTGCGTTCTTACTATGGACCGCTACATGGCAGTCAGCAAGCCTTTCAAGTACGCCCAATACATGAACAGAAAGAAAGCTATATTCCTAATTTTCATAGCGTGGCTATTTCCACTAATTTTCTTCACGCTCCCCGCTGCCCTTTCGTACAGAGATAACGAAGTGTTCACAATGGTATCAGAGATCAATAGAATCTTCGTTTTCCAAGTGTTTCCGTCCATTTTCTTTGTCTTTGTCACTCTTCGTCTCATCCTTACAGCCAGGAAGATAACACGTCAGTGCTACGCGCTAGAAGCTCAAGTCCGCTACAATCACGCCGCTTACCTCGCCAGCTGCAAGTCACTTTTGCGTCCCGAAAGGAGAACCTCGATTATGATTATCTTAATCATTACGCTCTTCAACATCACTTATGCCGGGGGAAATGTCATCTGTTACTGCTTTGTGACCAAAACGTGCGTTTTACCAAACATCCTGGATAAAATCATTCGTCTTTTCTACATCATCCACCTCTCCGCCAACCCCTTCGTATACGCTTTTTATAAAAAGGACATTAGGAAGAGCGTGAAAATACTTTTGAGGGAGTTTGCTGTGAACTAAATGTTTCTGCCTCTACGACTACAGTATTGCCTAATACTTTACACTAGATTACTTGTAACACCAAAAACCGGTCATTTGTCTTTAGACAATCGGACTGTCTTTATGGCTAAAGGCAAGAAGTAAAATGTACCGAGCATTTATTTGAATCATGTGTTCTTTATTAGAAGCGGTTGAAGTGTGAGCTCAGAAGCAGAAAATATTAAAGCTTTATTCGTCAAACCATTATGCGCCATCATTTGTAACGCCGGTTATTAACATAATCAGAACAAAGAGACGCTGGAAAATTATTCTCTTCAGGCCACGGTTTTCTTGGTTCGCTGCACTGACATATAATTTTCAAGGCTTTAAACTTTAAACCTTATTTAAACTACTGTTGACTTTTTATGATGATTTTTTTTACAGTTGGATTATTAAATTTCGAGGAATTTCTTTGCTTGATTATCAATTATTTTGTCCCTATTGTCGGTCCAAGCGGTTTTGACTTTTTTCCCTCCGACAGACCAACTCTTATTGGAGTACTACGCATATCAGCATTCGCACTCTTATGTTAGTTAGCAGGGTTTTGCTCGATAATTTTTTGGGCGCCTTAACCTTTTTCGGGTCTTCTGAATGAACTCTCAGTGTGCTTCAGGTAAATGCCATCTATCATAGCGCGTGTATACTTCGCAATAATAATTGTGTTCCTTGTGTGCAGAGAAAGCTGGGTAACTTACTACCATTTTTTGTTCATGCATAGTAATCCTTTTGCGTGATCAGTTAGAGGTGAGATGTTTTGACCCGCCATCTTAAGCCCCTCAATGTTTTCCTATCTCGCTCGACATTAAAAAATTTCGCACTCTGGTTAAAACTTTGTTACTTGTTTTAAATGTTTATTAGGATTTGGATTAAAACTATGAAAGTTTTTTAAAGAGCAGCAACTCTCTTGCAAGACCTGTTTTTCCTTCGGAGGAGAAAAATTCGCACCTTCTTCTACAAGAGCCGCGGGTTTGACTCAGGCGTTAGGTTTAGCCTGTCGTAAGAAATTTACATCAAATGAAAGCCAAGTCGTAGTTGTATATTGCCAAATTAGAAGTGCAGACAAATACGGCGAAAGGAACTAAAACCTTATGTGTACCGTCTCAATTATGGAATGTTAACCGTTAGATTAAATGAAACGTGTTGAATTTACGAAGATTGATCCTATCAATCTTCGTACTTACTGAGACCGGCAGTCTAAGTACGGGGAAACCAGAGCGATTTTTGCAGAGTGATTTTCACCAATGTTTATGAAACCGCGTGAAAATTACTTCAAGTGAAAGCTAAGATGTAGTAAAATTTACGACATTAAAAGCCCGTGCAAATACTGTGAAGTTTACAGAAACGGACATAGCGTCTTTCCTTTGTGTTAAGCAACAAGAATGATTTGTTCGACGCAATTCGTAATCAAATCTAATGAAACTTTTATTAAATGAGAGGTAAGGTCCAAAGGAAACGCCCGAGTTGAAATTCCGGCTTCGTTCCTTTTTCCGTTTAGTTGCAAATCGCAGTCAAGTCCTTAACACGCATGCGCGACGTTTTTGTTCCCTCGGAGGGCCCTCACTCTAGCCAGGTGTTGTCGCCCTTTTTGTTAAATTGTTAAATCAAACTTCAGGTAAACAATCTTGGAAATATTTGAGAACGTTTGGATCTTCTCCGTGTATCTTGTACACTACTTCATGCTTCCTAATCTACTTTTCCCTTAGCAAAAAGAAAGCTAAGCCAAGGTTGTTTTGAATTTTCTTTCAAAAGAATATAAAAGAGCAGAAAATGATAGCCCGCAATTTAAGAATGAGGTCCACTGTGTTCCAGTTTATTTTTGTCCGCTTTTTTATAAAAAACGAATTATTGGCGTTTCATCAATGGTTCTACTCCTCCGAAGACCTTGCAAGAACTTTGAAACAATCGCGAGCGGGTAACTTTCAGGTGCTCCATTCTTTATTCACTGGCGTTCAGTGATCTCTCAAAGTGCCATTTTCAGTTGTATTATCTAATCGAAGTCATTAAGAATTAATGCTTTTGTTTCTTGTTTATTCCTTCATTTGAAAAACCGCGCTTTACAGAGCGTGAAAAGTGAAAAAAAGTAGCACATAATATCTGTAGACATGATCATTTAGTCACAAACATCATCATGGCAGACAGTTTTCGATTTTCAAGGCTTTATCCTCTTCTGTGGCTATTTTGTTATTGTTTTGTTTGTGCAATGACCAGTATAATACATAAGAGGACGCCGACAGATGAAGACAAGGACGTTAGAGTTAAAAAGGTAGGCAAAGTTCTTCATCATAATCATTCCTTCGATAATAGAATTGTTTCATTTCCTCAAAATCGTGAGCACAAGAAGCACTGTCACTTCTCAAATCTCAAATGACTCAACTACGCTCTTCCCCCTTTTAGACTTAATCATTGAATCAGGTCCACCATTTTGAATTTTCAATGTTTCTCTATTTTGATCTTTAATTTTGTTTATATCGGAGTAATATACAACAAAAATTACTCGACAATCGAAAAGAGTGAGATCCGTAATTACTCTTGTAGCCTGTAGCTGCAGGTGTATGATCAGCTTTACTCGATTTTAAAGCTGTTTAACCTCAGTGTGAACACCTGTTGATCACATTTCGGTCAAGCAAATAACACGAAATTTATCCACGAAATACAAGTTCGATTTCGCCACGCTTTTTTTTTGGTTGCAAAGCTCCTTGAGTAGATAGATTGAACCGATTTTAAAGCTTGATCAGACTAAAGATCTTAAGATATCGTTGTCAGAAGGCAAGGAGATATATGGTAATGATTCAGTCCAATCGTTGATCAAATTGTTTCTCTGAAATAGTTAAGTGCATCCAGCAGAATAGGAGTTTCGTATCACAAATTTATTATACTCAACAAAATATTGACGAAGGGCTAACGCTCGAAATGTTAATTTTTGAAACTCTTCATGGTGGCCAATTTACAATATCATGACTCAGTTGATGAAACCAAATTATCTTGTAAAACGTCCAACCGGCGCAGCAGCGCAGTTTCTTTAGAAAAGTATCCTCTTTTTTGAAAACCTCGTCGATTATCTTTTACTCTCTTCTCGAGCTTGTTTTAAGACCTAAAAAAATCTTTATTTTCCTCTTCTGAGAGAAAATAGAAATGCTAACTCCATAGAAAACACACCCTAAAATTATTTATCCATCACTTTTATTCAACTAATTTCTTCGCATTGTGCTTTCGGAATGAAGCAGATGTTCAGTTACTATGGTAATTGCCCCACCAGAAAGTTATTAAGCTTAATTTATCTCTCCAGACCACTGAAGGTAATAATATCCAACTACGCAGTTACTGGAACTTCAATGTCGTGATAAATTTCTGATCTTAATTATGTTTCAGATGATATCCCCAGGCTACTACTCTCAGGAATGTAATGCTCACAAGCAATGCAAAGACCCAGTCAAGTATTGTCACATGTTTCTGTGCGTTGATTGTTTGAAAGAAAATGTAGCCTGTACACAAAATGGTCAGTGTTGTCCTTCATCGGAGTGCATTTACGGTCGGTGTAAGGCTGGTTCTACTGCAGGAAACGCAGGTAAAAAACTCTATAATTTACTGTCTGTATGTACAGCCCCTTCTTGTGTGTCCTTACCCACCAGAAAATTTCTCAATATGTGGTTAAATGACTTGGTATTGTAATTTGTCTAACTTGGTCTAGATATCGATTTTTATTTTGCGGCCAAGTGCGCACTCCGTAACAAACCATAGAGGCAAAGATCACTTTTGCAATAAAGTGTGTCCGAAAACCCGTGACGAAAATGTTGTTCAAAGTAATAAGTCACCAGGCCTGGAGAAGGAAATGTGATGATTAAGAATTCCCCATGGAACCTTGCAGGCGTCCTCTTGCTTGGATGTTTGTCTGTTAACAGCTGAAAAGCCTCCAACTACCTAAAAAGAAACTTCAAAGATAGCATCGAGCGACAAATCATCGATGATTGCTAAATTCTTCGCGAGAAATCCGCGTGTAGAGGCGAGAAGACGGCAATTGCGACTAATATGCTTGCAATCATTTTCGGAACTCAGTTTTTTTGTTGATTTGGCATTAGCAATAAGTGTTGCAAAATGATTAAAACAAAGGCTCTCAATGAAAACTTTTAAAGCTCCATACGGATCTGATCGCTTCTCGTCCTAAACTAAGCTTTCATAAACTAAGCTGTTATTCACAGGAATATTGACCGAAAGCCCTACTTTCTTTCTTTCCAGGATCGTTCTGCGATAGACAAAGTGATTGTAAGGACCAGGACCTCTGTTGTGTCCGTGAGCCCGCCATCAACCCCGCCATCTCAATTTGTAAGCCCGCCCTTGATGAACATCAAACATGTGGACCGTACAATCAGTACAGGACAATGTACATTGGTGGTACTGTGCAACCGGCCTGTGGTCCTTGTAAACAGGGCTTGACTTGCAAACAAGTAGGGTAAGTACAACCACATCAAAAAGAGAAAGGCTTGGTATCGAATGAGGCCATACGTTTATAAGCTACTATGATTTTGTAGAAAAACAATCTATCCTACAATCTTATAACCCCTATATCTAACCTTAAGAGTATCGAGATACATACATGATGTTTTGCCACATGGCAATGCAATTTAAAATTTTAGAGTTACCAAAACAAAATTTTGGCCACAAAGTAGAGAGGAGAAGATATTGTAAACCTCATGAAATTCTAGGAAGGTCAGGGAGAGCATCAATATTCTGTGTCGCTTTCTGTTAATGAAACCGGGATAAGCTATGTTGGTATGAGCCTCTTGGCTCCTGAGACCAATTAGCATATCATTGCATCTATTGTTCATTATTGCCCTTTCTTCAGAATATTCGGTGTTCATCAAGTTTGCCTGCCTGAAGCAAGTCCCCCTGGGAAGAAGTAGAACTACGCTAACAAGTGAGAAGCGCTCCGGATGCAATGTTGAGCCACGACTAAAAAGTTATAAATAAAACACTATCATTAAATCTATCATTTTGACAATTTTTCAGTAGTGTGAAACGAATTTTTTTACCATTTTTCTGGGAAAGCATTCATTCTGTAAGAAGTTTTGGAATCAGTAAGTGTGTCATACAGTTTTCGTTTAAATGTGCCCTGTCACTAAAGTGGAATAATTTATATGCCATTTTAAGATAAATTGGAGTATTTTCAGATGAAATCTCCATCTAAAAAAAAACTTGAGACCAAGGTAACCGATGGGTCAAGAGCAAATGAACATACTATTAAGCAAATGCCATTTCCGCTGCGTGGCATTACTGCTAATTGCTGCATGCATGCTGCTTTCGCAATATAAGTGTTGATTTCAGACGTTCGTGTAATTGCATATTCTCTTTCTGTGCTGTCTTCTGGTGTAAAATAAAATTTGCTTTTATATTTTGGAAAGTACGTGAAATAAACCATTTATCTAACAACATCTCAAATTCAAAGTCGAAAGGAGAATACAATAAATATCATCAGAGGTGACTTACTGTGAAGCAATATTTAATGCCATCCCTCTCCAACAAAGCCAGGCTGTTTTTAGAGACAATAACATGATTTCAAGTGCAATTTGATGTAAATAAGCTCGAGTACATTTTTCAAAGACAAAATTGCACGAGCCAGTAGAGCAAGTGCAATTTGTAGTGAAATGAAAAAACATCGCAGAAAGTCAAGACGGACGAAATTTTGAAAGCGGCGCGCTTTGACTTACATTACTTTGCACTCGTGTCACATGAGAATGCACTCGTATTCAGCCAATCAGAAGCGCGTGATTTTTTCATGTACATTATTAAGACTAGAATTCAAGTTGACCCAGTTCTCCTACTAAAGTCCAAAAAGTTTCTGACGATACAAACATACATTGACATCAATATAAGAAAATACATTTTATTGCTTTTTTTAACACCAATTACAAGAAATTATATTAATAGGGAATTAAATAATAATAGTACCAGTGGTATCATGAGAGACGTATATGTTTGTTATCTTAGCTCTTATAAAAAAGATTTGGTGGTCAACTGTATGCGCTTTTTTACACGATAAAAATAGTGAGGTTATAAGTTCTCCCGTGAATCACTGAGCTCAGATTTCCAAGGATCAGTGCCATGTAAAGAGTATTTTCAGAAGTCAAATTGAATGGTTTGCAAATCTTTGGTTTAAAATAAAATGCTCCCCTGAATCTCGAACTGTGTCTGTGTTAGATTTAAGGGTACTCATTAGCCACATGAATGTAGTCAAATTACCTTTTACCAGTATCCGACGTAGGATACTTGCAAAGTAGACTTGATTTGAAAGAAACAGGTTATTTGCGAACTTACGATCCAACTACAAGCGTTACCAAACTTTTGCGAACCATTGCTTCGACCCTCCTATTTCTGATGGCAAGTTTACAAACACTTTGATACAGTCCTTACACAATTCATAAAGCTCTCTACTTTAGCCAAAAAATTGAGATCATTACTTGTCATCTTCTTTCACACAAATCTCATGCACTCCAAATATTCTGCGAAAGAAAAACACCCACAGTTAGAAAATTTCGTCGACGATTGCAAATAATATAAAATGAAATTCTCCAGAACAGGAAAGTCAATAAAAGCAATTATCAAATATGATCATTGTGCCTTGCCAAGTGCATCTCCTATCAATGTTCTGACTTACCCAACTTGCTTACATACAAGTCCCGCCTTGCATGGGCCGCAAGCTCTTTGTACCTGAGCTCCAATGTAAACATTTTTAAAGAAGTTGATGGGACCACAAACCATGTTCTCTTCCAAGGGTGGCTTGCAAACGGAGATATGCGGATTGATGGCTGGTTCTCTGAAATGACATAACACAACAAAAAACAAATACATCTCCGAATGAACCTACAGTCTACCCTTCTGTTTGTCTATCTGCCTTTGAACTTTCTCAAATGGCCTGTCTATCAGCCCGCCTATTCATCGAAACATTACCATGTAGACAAGCGTACAGGTGGGTGGATACGCGTGCTTCTCTGTATGCTTGTCTACATGCTCGCATTTTTCTTATTTCGTGATTTTATAGCCTAGTTGTAAGTTTCCCAACACGTATGCGTCTTTTACAATTTGCCGTCACTCTGTGGATCCTTGCACTGAGAAAATGAAGCTAGGAGACTGAACTTTCAAGGTGGCCTTTTTCGTTAAGGCGATCCTTTCAAAATAATCATTAGATGACTCGTTTCAAGTACCCCAGAAGGATCTAAAAAGTAGTCATAAACTATTATAAATTTCGCCAACGCCAACATCTCACAAGATGTCTGTTTGTTCTCCATAAAACATTTTAACAACATGCAAGGAATGCGTAAAATTATTACGGGTAGAGCAATTTCCTTTAGTCTATAAAATAGATTTAGTAGTATTAACTCTGGAAAGAAAATCCCGCGAGAGATCGAGTACCTTAACTTGTTCCCTTCCTTTGTTTACATACAAACCTAACACAACACGTTCCAGGAGGGTCTTTACAATCATCGTGTCGATCACAGAATGTTCCAGGAGAACCTCCAGAGGCATCTTTTTTACATCGGCCATAAGTACACTGGCCATGACAACACTGACCATTTTGAGTGCAGGCCACATTTTCCTTTAAGCAGTGTACACACAGAAACATGTGACAATACTTTCCTGAAAATCACACAAAGAAACAAAACAAGGAATCTCAACAAACTCTGTGGTCGTAATAGCAAAGCCTAAAAGGTAGTAACCCAAACTGACCTCTGTGGATAGTACACATTTTCGCTGTTTTTTTTTCTCTGGTCGTTTCAGAGCTAACTTTAGTACTTTTAAACCTTTTTTTTTGGCAGTATTTAACCATTAAATCCTTTTCGAAAACTTAATTTTCGTTCTCTGATTAGTAATCTCAGTTAAAATAATCCCATCAACTAGTTTCATTTTATTGCCAGAGCTTATACCAAAGCCGAGCTGAAAACTATGCCAAGTATCATAAAACTATTCGGCATATCACTACACCTCCTGCATGTGATGCCAGCACATAGCAGTTTACCCCTGGCCATCATATCGTCCAATTTCCCCTTCAAATCGACGGTACTCATTTTTACTACCAATAAATAATGATCCTGGTAGGTGAGGAGGGGCCTGTACTAAAGAGGAAAGTGCCTTGCACAAGAACAGAGCACATTAACAACACTAATGACTTGAGTCTGGACCTCTCAATCCAAACTCCAGTGCGCAAACACAATGGCCACCGCGTTCTCTGCGCTCCCTGTGATTAAGTGCTTGTTCAACTACTTATCTTCACGATACGCTATAGGGATCGTAACCTCTGCTTGATCCCGTTGTAAATTTTTTTTTTGTCTGATGGAAAAAGGGTCTTCACATTTCAACTAACCTTGGTCACAAGGCTTGTGGGCATTGCATTCTTGAGAGTAATATCCTGGTGCAAGCATGCGTGGCTGCGGTTTTTCTGCCCCAGCATTGGCAAGTGGGGCCATATCGGACTCCATCTGGGGAAATGGCTGCATCATGTCCTGAGTCAAGAGATTTAAATTTTAATCATCACAGTGAATAGGAAGGCCAATTTGCATCGACGTCTCCGTCCAAAATAAACATACATCCACAAGACAGCTTGCCAAGGAATTTTTAGTGATGTTGTGAATCTAAGTTAGTCACGGCCATGTAAGCTTTGGGGCATATTGTTAAACACTAATGAGTGAACTAAATCAAATGGAATCACTCCTCAAGATGTAGGCTCTGTAGGGCATACCATACAGAGCCTCTCCTCAAGGGGCTCTTGTCTTTCAGCAATACTAAGGTATGTAAATTAAATAATCACTATTTGTTTGTTATGGCTTTGAACTGACATTACAAACGGCTTCGACAAAACAAAAAGAAAATGGGAGGCACTTGTGGTAAAGTCCTAGTATAGTCAAGTCACGCCATCATTGTTAAACTACGACCAAGTTCTCCTTCTGTTCTTCTGTTATAGTTTGTTTATCTTTTAGACTCGTGATCTGGGTGCGCTTTTAGCAACACCTTCACGGTGATTTTTCGAGTAATTACTGGTCCCGGGCGCTGATTTGGATCAACTTCGGCGTTGCGAGGCAGCCTATACATGGTCGTCTTCGCTAATCAAAACAATCTGGATTTTGATCGCCTTATTTCTCAAATAAACATACCTGTGACCTCTACCACAGAAATATTTAACCAAATTTAGGTTGCCCAAACTTACCTTTTTAACTCTGGTATTTTCGGATAACTGCTCTTCTTTTTTCAATAATTGCTTTAGGGCGATGTTCTTCTTGGCAGTTGCCCAAGGTAGCCAAATTTGGCTAAGTATAGTTCCTATTAAAAGCCACCATTTCGACTTTAAGTTCATTTCGTCACGAAGAGGACTCTTTGAAGTCCTAATTCTCGCTAGGCCTTCGACTTTGGGCCAAGTTACAGAGCGTTTATGTGGCCAGAATTATTTCATTCGGTCATCTATTATTAATAGTTTCCGTCAAAGCCCAGTATTCACTCCACCGTGTGAAAAGGATCAATATAGATCCAAGTGTTAGTTGATAGTTTTCTTCAATTTTTAAGCTATGCCTAATCTTCACGAAACAAATTTCGATTGATGTGTTCGTCGAGATGCATTTTCGGTCGTTATCCCTTTCTGAAGAAATAAGGCGATTCGTTGGGTGCTCGCCGTAAACTGGTACCGGTAGTTAGGAACAAAGAGGGCATGGAAAAAGCTTTGTTGCCTTTTGTGAAGAAACACACAGATATTTAGTAATACCAACCAAAGCGAGATATCTTATCATATCTCTACACTTAGTTTCAGTGGCAAAGCAGCTAAGGAAATAGTCTCTTAGCAACTTAATATCTCAAACCAACTCAGCTAAGGGTATTTAAAACAAGTATCTGATAGCTTCTAAGTTAATTGCCTCGGGAACTAGGGATTGATTTGTGTCGAAGAAACTATTGGTAAATTTGCTCACAGTTGCAAAACCATTTTTATCTTGCAGCCTTTAAGTTAACCTCTTCTCTCCGTAGTAATTATCCGCACCCCAAGTGTCATCGGCAACACCACTTTTAACCAATGAAAGCAAGCGATTATCACTAAGAAAACAAACAAAATCAATCGTATGTATGAGGGACCGATTTTATCGAGGATCGAGTACATCGACCAAAGATTATAATTTAACCTACAGACAAATGACTTGCGTCAAAAGCAAAACCCGAACCTTGTCAACGTTATCATTTTCCAGCTTAAAATATATTAACAGAGGCTGCAAACTGGAGAAGAAATTAGACAAGAGGATGCACTGCTCAAAAGCATCCAACCTATTTCACTTTGTGGCCGCGGCTTTACCCAAATTCACTTTATGTATTATGGCATAGCCTACTGTACATCGTTCTCAGTGACCAGAATGCACGAGCTCCAAAGATTACAGTGCTCGTCATTTTAAACGAAGAAAGAGAATTTATTCAAACAATTTGAGGTCATCGAAAGCCGAGAGGAGATCCTCTCGAAACAGCCATGTTGACATTTTTCTTCGAAGGGATGGAATAATTTTATTCAATGGAAAAGACCAGTCAGTATATATTCAATATTCAAATGGGACTTGACCTGATCCTCACAAATACCAACTTGTTCAAGTGCTAAATTTTTACCCAATGAATAATTTATGTCAGTGACTCGAATACAAGAGACGCTTGCTTTGGTTACGAAAATGGCATGAAATGTTTTCTAAACTAGGACTGTTTGTATTAACTCTAAAACTATTCAACACAGTCGCAGCTTCTGGAAGAATTAAGGAAGTAAATAGTCCGAAGGGGAAAAGCCGCGCAGATGCATCGGAGAGACGGGTAAAAAACCAAGAATTGTTATTCTGTGAGTCATCGACAACATATAAAGGGAACTAGGTTGATATTTAGTGCTTAGCCGTGCCTGGGTATTACAATATTTTGCGGTCTTTCTGGTCTCAGTTTTATTTCACACAAAGATCGACGCAAACAGCCCATTGTCAACCGGGTACCGACTGAACAGGCAATTCAATAAGTCGTTTATCAAGTGGTCGTGAGCTGATGACCAGTCAAAATGTACAATAACTACTAAACATATCGGACAACAGTTAGTGTAAGTTGTTGCCGAATTTTGTTTGGCCGATGACTATAATCAAAGTAACAGGCGACACCTCATTCGGCTAGTATCTTACCAGTTGATATCAGGGTAACTTATCCTTTTGAATCGTTCTCGTAACTATCAATGATCTGAAGAATCGTGTTGTTCAGCGACAAATGAACTGCTGACTCGACAGCACTTGAAGAGCTACATTCGCCTTAAAAATTCTCCTTTGAATGATGCTGTACTATTTACTATTCAGTTTACCATGCATGCAATACTCACTATTTCTCTACATTTCCTTTTTAGCAATTTATATTGCACATGCCGTCACCTTGGCATTATCGCGCAATGGTAGAGGCTGGGACCGACGAATGCAATGTGAACAAAGATTGTCCAGCCGGGAAGTTTTGTGACGTTCATACATGCAGGGCATGTCTGCACGAAAGAGCAGCCTGTCATTTCATTGGTAAGGAAATACTAGTTGAAGATGATTTTACGCTATTTCCAACTAAAGAAATCGTTTTTTTCTTTAAGGAACCTGCTGTGAGGGATACGCTTGTCAATATGGCCAATGCACTAAGGGCGTAGAGCAAGGGGAGCCTGGTACGTATTGCGACAGGACTTCGGATTGTCTCGGTAAAGAATCGTGCTGTATTCGGGAGATTTCCGTCAATCCACACACGTCCATGTGCAAGCCAATGCTAGATGAGTTTGAGTCGTGTGGCCCAATCAATTTGTTCCACCATGTATACACAGGTGGTATGGTGGAACCAGATTGCGGACCTTGTAAAGTTGGACTCCAATGTAAGAATGTTGGGTAAGTTCAATTTGTATCGCATTACTACCAACAGGATAAAGTTTTGTTTAAGAAGACGTTCGTATGTACCGTTCGATATAAATAATTTGGAATAAAAATCGCTAAGCATGAAAAATAACCGTGTGAAGCTTTTGTTTTCTGATTTGTTTCTTACTTTCTTTGTTTGGGGTTGAATTCTTTATTTGTGCATGTTATTCTTATACAGAAAAAAATTTCTTGAGAAGTGATTACATTTAAAACATATCTTGTTAAAACCAAATCGCTGGAAATAAACTTCACCTCCCTTCTTACTGTGTCTTTTTTCTTTTCTCACAGAATTAATGGCCTTCACTTTATTTGCCTCAAAGAGGAGGAGGAATAGCGCAGATCAGATCTTTTTTCAACTAATCCTATAAACTGCCACGTTAGTCTCGTGAAAGAAACTCTTGGCCCACACGACGGACGGCGAAACTCGGTTGAATTGTTGCCGGATCTCTCATAATGGAGTTATATAATGTGTACATAAACTAATCAACACTGATAAACTTCCAGTATCTCAAAATAAATTCTCCCTTCTCACTGCTACACAATTACTCATACAATATTTTGAAAATTTGGTTTTATGTTAAGAAGAGCCCGAGATTAAAAAACACACCCAAAATTGATAGAGGCCTTTTCACATCTCCTGTTTGCTCATATCGTTACGGGAAGTTATCTAAGAATCTCCCCCAGGAGATGGGCTTGGAATTACAGGAAAGGTACTTGTACTAGGCACTTCCAGTTAACAAGAATGGAACTACCCGTCGATAAATTGGTCAATCCTGAAATGACAACCTTGCTGTTTAACTACAGCAATATCCAGACCTCTGAAAGTCCATTAATCAGTTAAGTAAGACCTGGTTACCAAAATGCTGCGGTCTTTAGTGAACTAGGACTTAATGTAGAATCCCAAATATGCCTGTGCATGTAATTTAAGTGTAAAATTAACGGAAAAAAGCTGAATTTGCACAGCACTTTTCAACACATCTCCCTTTAAGTTGAAAACAAATAAGCCAATTTAAGTCTTTTATTCAAGCCTCACACAGTAGAGTTTATTTCTGGTAGTTCGTTTGTACGCTTTCTTTGTTTGTATAGTCCCGGAAAAGGTAATCGAAAGAGAAGTAAAGAGACACACAACTCTGATTCAAGACTCAGTGTATACAGCGTTTTAGTTTCCAATTTTTTACTTTATTTTATCCAACTTAATATCTTTACAAATCAATTATTTCTTGTCCAGTTTCTTAATAACATAACGTAGCTTCCATTGGAGTATTGTTGTTTAAAACTTTATTTTCTTTTCCTTGCCTGTTTTCCCGGCCTTGCTCGGTTTTATTTCCTTTTTCGAAACTTCATCGTCGATGGACTTTGTCTCCTCAGGTCGGATGCAAGCCTTACGGCCAAAAAACCTTGATAAAACAAGTTCGTTAATTAGCAACTGAGTAGTTAATTAAAGCTAATATGGTTTTTACTTCATTTGTTAGATGAAAAAAAAACATTCCGAACGGGAATGGATTTACAGGAGGGGACCATTTATCGAGAGGGGACTTGGTCGAGGGAGCGAACTAACCACTCGGGTAAACCTTCTTGCTTCAGGTGCCCGCCGCAAAAGAGTTCAATGGTACAACTACTCCGGCTTCCGCCTTCCCTTGATTAAAGTATCAACTCATAATCAACTCTCTCCTCAAATAAAAAAAATACAGAATGTCCATATTTTTCAAATCCATAACATTCTTACACATGGATACTCACCCACAGTTCTAACTGCGAGTTTAAGCCGAGCTCAGACTTTGCACAAAAAAATTAGGACAACTCTTAAAAACCAAGGACGAAGGGGAAGGTTTGCCATAAAGTTTACAGTAGCAAGTAGATCTCGACCTACCCAACAGTCTTGCACACGAGTCCCTTCTTGCAGTAGTTCGACACCTCCTCAGCTGGTCTGAACAAATCAAAGAGGCCAGCGTGGCCACAAGTAGCTCCTTCTCCTAACTTGGCCATACACAGACGGAAGTAACGACTGATATCCGGCTGCTCTCTGCAGCTGAGTTCCTCGTCCGCAGAATGGCAATCACTGTCCGAGTCACAGAATGTGCCTACAAACGATTATAAAAGGTGTAGCATGAGTTCTTGGGTCTTCTAACTTTTTTCCCTTGGAAAATGGAAACCCTACAGATACTCAAATACTCAAAAGAAAAGAAGTAATAAAAAGTAAGGAATTTGACAAAGAGGCCAGCGGGTGGGAAAATCTGCCCTGGCCCACCGGGGCCGTTCTCCTTAGCAGCGAGACCAGCTTGCATTTCTTCTCTCTGCCTATTCTTAAAATTTAACATGGCTCGGTAGGCGACCCGTTATCAACTAGAAACAGCTTAGACTAGAATATTCTTGGTTTGACCCCAAGCCAGGAACATTGTTGTGTTATACTACTCAATAATTTAATGAGAATTATTACAGAGAGGCTTTCAGTCTTGCACACCCAATGCCCAGAGCCCATCCACTTCGAAGCTTAGGTTGTTTTCCATCGCTTGAAGCCCCTGGGAGAGAAGCTTTTCGCTTCTCCTCTTAGGTGACATCGTTTTCCATTAGAAGTTATCGGCACTCTTAATCCCCATGGTATCAACGAGCGCTTTTTATTCAATTAATTTATTCTTGCTTTCTCGTCACCATATTCCCACCAATAGCGTAGCTCCATTTTCTACATTTAAACCCACGCACAACCCACAATTCCTCTAACCGCTCTGACGAAGGGCTAACGCTCGACGCATCAGCTTTTAAACTCTTTTTTGATAATACTAAATTACCCTGTTATACTATTGTCAGCTGACTGTTCGCTGATGCCATTTATACTCCTCCTAAATGTGGAGGGCCTCTTTGAGAGTTAAGAAATATACCTACGAACACAATATGGCCCGACTTAAATTCGAACCAGGACTTTTCGATCCAAAGTTTGTATCACGTGGCCACCATGTCTTTCACTATATCTCCTATCCCTAGTGATTCTGTCCCATCAAAATGCCAAAAGGGTGATCATGTAACATTAGTCAATTTTAACTAAGGACTCACCTGAACTACCCTCCTCGGAATTCTTTATACAGCGACCCCAGGTACATCGAAACTTGTCCTCACACTGGTCCTTCTGAGTGCAAGCTGCTCCATCACTCAAACGTTTCTTACACACACCGAAAAACGCGTCACAGTATTCCACATTACCACATTCAGATGATGCGCTGCATTTCTGAAATGTAAAATGAGTTTAAAATAGAATTTAAAGTTTGATACAAATGCTTAGATGGAGCTACTAAACTTTGCGAGAACGATTCTATTGTCAAGGTTGTCACCTTAGCAACGACCATTGATTTACCTCAGGATTGCCTGCCATCCACAATTGGAGAAAAGTGATCATTATCTATTTTTCAAGCAATCATTTGTAGGGCCATGATATAAACAAACATCTTTGTTTTACATTTCCATTTTCTACCCACTACCTACTTCCCTTTTAAAAAATGACTACAATCTGCCGTGAGGCCATTTTCCTTTAATACCGTAACAGATAGTGACATCTGTACATTTTATCTGTGGTGCAACAGGTTCCTCAACTGGTACCAGTAAATCACTGTTAGTGTCTGGAGATCATAAACGAATTCTACTCTTTAAGTTTATGATCCTCACGCGTCGAAAAATACTTTCTTAAGGCTGGTAGTTTCTCTCTTCCCTTCTTTTAAGAGAACTTGAAAAAGCGGAAAGTGAAGCAGCCTGGCATTTTAAAACATATTTACATGTTGAAATCTACAGGTAAATATCTTAAAGTAACTGAAGCTGTAAGTGGATGTGCTTTCACACTTCATAAATAAATATTCTTGTTTGAATCACTGAAATTCTATAGTGAAATTCTCAATCAAATCGATAAATTTCGCTGAAAAAAAGTTAAGTTTAACTCCTGGCATCACGTTATGAAACCGAGACTGAAGGAAAATGAAAATTTTAGCGAGCACCTTGAGTTTTGTCAAAACCTAGACTCGGTATCAGTACACGGGAAGGAATGAAATTCAATTATTCTTTTATATTTTCTAATAATGCCAGTAATAGCAAATAAAATTAAAGGAAGCGAACGTTTTGAATTCCATGGCTAAACGAGATGCGAGGGTGCTTCTTACCTTGCCACCTTCATCGTGAAATTGCGGTCCAAAAGGTCCGAAATCGAACTCCATAGCGGAAGGAATATTCACTTTTCCATCTTTGCCTTTGGGCAGTTTGTCCTTGTCAAGGGTTGTGATGGACTTGTAAACCTTTGACAAGACATGAGGTGAGCTCTTGTTATCTGTGGACACAGTCTCCTCAGTAACACTGTATGTCTTGAACGGACCATGAGTCGAGTTCTTCGAGGTGGTCGTTGTCTTGGTCTTACCAGGTTTATAGTCCGCTTGTTTCGGTCCGGGGAAGAGATTTTCCAATTGTTGTCGTATGTGAGCCAAAGCACCTAAATTAGGAATAGGAATACGAAGGGCAAAGCCTGGAAACTCGGCTGCTCCTGCTTCGGGATCTTCGGCTTCATTACTTTCTTCGAGAGCCTTTTGTTGTGTATCTACTTCTTCCTTCTTGGTCTTCTTAGCATCAGTATGAAGTGCGGTCAAAGATATGAGCAAAATCAAACTGACGATCTTGTTCATTTTATAGTTCTAACGAGGCCAACCTATTCTGCACCACCTGGAGTTCAAATAATTGTTTTACCTTTGAGGATCCAAAGATCTAAATAGAGTTTAAAACACGTGCTTTGACGCAATTTGTCGACAAAGGTTGAATTATTGATTCGTTGAGATAATTGCACAAAAATTATCTTAACCAGGGTGTAATCTTCCTCTTATGGAGGTGAAGTAGAGATATTAAATATCAGCTTTGCGGAGGATGTCATGTATATGGATTTTTTCTTTATGAAATAATCTTCAGTTTATTGCAGTAATGGTTCGATACGAGGTAGTTAAGTGATGGGTTAGTTATAGCAGCAACACGGAAGCTAGCTCATTATAACTCAAATCTGTGGTACAGGTATTAAATTTGGCTATCACAGCTTACATGAAAACAAAAAAAATGCGCAAAAAAAAAGTCATCAACACCTTGTAAATCAAAACATTACAGCTAGACTTTATTTTCAAGGTGGTAGGTTAAAGAATATTTAATCAACTTCAGTTTCAGTGCCTTCTTGTCCGAGTGAAAAAAGCCATTGCACTTTGAAAGTTGTTGGTCCCACTTTTAGTTGTGTTGGTAAAATTTAATTTGGGCAACATTTGAAATAAATAAGCTATGCAATTATTTCGTGAGACTTCCTTCTGAATGTAAGAAAGAAACTGAATCAGGTTTTGACCCAATTTAGATTTAGAAATCTACAATACCACAAAACCTGGACTAGCGCAAGAAGTTACCACATAGGGTATAACAAAGAGACAAAAAGGAACCCAAAATCCCACAGAAACAAACATTCCAATCAATTCAATACGAGTATTTCGGAAATGTTAAAAGTCTACCTGCGATGAACCTGCATGAACGCTTCGTCGAACATTGAGAGATACTTATTAAACCGTAGTATAAAATTCACTTAACCCAATTAGTGCCAATTTACTAACAGCGATTTCTGTTAATTATTAAGAAAATGAGGAAATGGAAGGTTCACTTCTTCGATCACCTTTACCATTTTTAATTTGCTTAAACGTTTTTTTGGTTTTAAACAAACAAAAGTCTCTGACCACTATGAACGAAGATACCATTCTTGTCTCAGTACCCACGGTACAATTTTCAAAAGTGACGGGAAAAAGTTGCCGGAAACCAAGTTTTCCACCGTGTTTACGGCAACAGTCCACTTTTATGAACTTTTGTCACCTCAGAGGAGTATATCGACCGCAGGAATTGCTACAACACACGCGTGTCCTGCGCGCGCTGTACACACAAATTTGTGTATTGCGTGCAAGTCTTACCCAGTGAACGTAACAGGTCCTCGATAAGGCGTTACTCTGTCAGGATACGGCATCATTCCACTTTCAGGTTTGAATGGAAATTAGAGGAAGAGAGCTTCTGTCAAATTATTAACTAAACAGAATAACATTCACTTCGTAAGGTCGAGGCGTCAGACTTGACAGAGTGAAAATACTTAAAAGAGTTAAACACCATTCTTTCAAATTGATTCCCATTTTAAAACATCTTTAATAATCTTACTCGGAGGACATAGTGTTTATAAACTTCCACTAGGTCACAATAAATAAAATTTCTAAGCCTGAAGCTAACATTGTGAAATATGTGAAGCCACCTATCTATGCAGAGCCATTTCTGTTTAGTAACCGCACCTTGGGGTACTACAGATATAAGTAACGTAGCTCGTAACAACAGTTTAACCCCTAGTTCTGGATACCAAATTACAGCTACACACTATTCTACTAAAAACGGTATAGCCCTGATAATTTATCAAAGAAAATCAAATTGCCATGGCTCAGATTTCACTCTTTTCTCAAATTTCTCAATTTCTGAGGATTATTTGGCGACCAGCTCTACTTTTTAAAGGGAAAGAAGTCATTATCGTGAAACCAATCAAAAGATGATTTGGTTGATTTATCTTCCACACTTCCTTCTTTCAGGCACTTGTAGGAGGAAAAGGGGAAGCCACTGCAGATAAAACGACGACAACACTTTAGTGAGAATCGAAAAAAAAATATATATCCAGTGTCTCTACATTTACAACAAGGATGTATGATGGAGCAATTACATTGCACGTGGTGCAGATGTTTCTTTGCAAAAGCTACAAAATTGCCTGGAGTGAGCCATTCAACTTTAAACTTCCTCACAAATACCACATCAATATCAGACAAATGCATGACTTGTTTAATTTTCACACTCAATGTTGTGATCTTCATGAAATCACTAGAGGAGTAATGTGTCCTCAAACAGAACAAAGATATTCTCCAACAAACATTTGGAGAATAAATGGTAGTCAACAAAGATGATTTTTAGGCTAAAAAAATCCGTGCAAATAACATTAACAAAAATACATGTATCTACTGAACTCTAAGTAATATACATGTAGGTGAACAGTAACCTTAACTTAGCATGCAAATTTGTTCAGATACCTGTTCACAGACATAGTCTGTTCTGAGAGGCAAACAGTTTTCCCAGAGCAAAGCTCAAGGAAGTCACTTTCTAAGTGTGTGTGCCAGGGACACAAAATTCAAAATAGCTTAACATTTAAAACTTTAACTATGTCAGATGGGATATTGATTTTCAGCATTTTCTCAAACCACTTTAGGAATGAAAACATTTGCATTTGTTTCTCTAACAATAAACAATTCCTCTACTGTTCTGAGGTAGTTGCAAAACACTACTTTTACATATTGGATGCCAGATTTTAAAGTTGGGGAATAATGCTTGAGGTGTATCACTGGATGATTCCTAGTTCTAGCTGAAGCATAATGGGTCACATGAAGGGTTGTTGAAAAGAGGCAGAAAATAAGCACATTTCCCCATATTGTTCTGGTAAAAGTGCCCGCTACTCTAAAAGCTTGTGGCTCAATTTTCAGCATGGAGGCATGCCACTGCGCCACCTACTTTGTATCACAGTGCAGTTAAGAAAAAAACCATTTGATAACCATGCATGGCACCTTTACACAAACAACCAAAGAGTGAAAATATATTTGTTGAAGTATGATTGCAAGTAGTCGGCCACATGACTAGGAATAGGATAATGTTTGGCAATCATAACATCTAGTTTATGTTACTTAATCTAGAAATAAATTTATCTTTAATTGTCATATACATTGTATCTAAAGGAGGTAAGACTCTATACAGTCAGAATCAAACTTACCCAGTCCTTCTGCACTCCAAACCCTCAGCACATCTGGGTGAATTTCTTGAAAAAATCCCTCTGCTGCATGACTGTCCCTCTGTTCTAACATCTTTGCACTTTCCACCTTCAAACACACGCACTGAGCAGAAAAGGCCTGACTTGCACTGGCTGTCATAATCGCATGGAGAGTTGGCCAGCCCTGTATGCTCTGGTTGTCAAAAAAATGAAAATTGAAGAAATATAAACAGCTGTACAATATGTAGAGTTACATGCTATAATTTACCATATAAAAGGCACAGGGTTACTGGTGTAGGTTATAGTTTGATCCTTTTCCTTGTTTCAAAATTTCTTAGGAAGGTCCGATTTCAATAATAATGGGTCATTAAATAATCTTATTACATTGCCCATGGGCAATAAGAAGCAAATCCTACATTCTGATTGGCTATCCAAGCAGGCAAGATGGGCCCCCACAAGAAACAAAGTGCACAGAACAGACTTATAAAGTTTGTAATTTGTGGACAATGTGGGCAATGAAGTCACAGAAAGCAGTAGAAGACAGGTGAAACAAAGACAACATCAACAACTCTCATGGGTATATAGTGCTATAAATGCATTCATCCTCTCAAAATGAATAAGTCACACATGATCTTATGCAGATTTAATTGGCATATGTTATTATTTTCTTCAAAGTTAAGAAAGGAATAGCCTGTGGACAAGGTATTTTAAAACAACACTTTCTTGCTCGTTTCTTCCCATATGACAACCTTTGATGAAATGTTTAAGTCAAGGTATTATAATTCAAACCTAGCTCCATTTGCATATTCAGTGACTAATTAAAAACATAAAGCCACTATACTGTTTGATATTTGCCCCAACTTCTCAAACTGATTCATATAAGAAAATGTTCAAAATGACCTACAAAATTACTTCTAAGCATTGGGTGCAGCTTAACCACCAGTTTTTACAGCAAATACAATGCTAATTGGAATGAAAAGTTATTTTTCCACCCTTAAGAAAACAATAAGCTAGCCATACACACTAATTACACAAAGGTGGTGACCAGATAGAAACATATGCTCCTCTGTCAAAAATACTGTACGTCTGGTTTTAAATGTACACTATGCTAGGTTAACATCCATATTTTGGTCCCCTTTTCTACATGTATGAGCTGCACTGTATTGATTTAGCATTTCCTTACCTGGTTCATCTGCACACTGGCCAAATTTGCAAACTTTTTTGCCACAGCACTGGTCATCATTAAAACAACCAAACCCATCAAGGCATTGCTGACACTGATAACTGAGTTTGCTACAGAACTTATCAGCACTGCAGTCATCTTTCTTGGTACATTCAGCCTAAAGGCACATTGGTACATTGTGTAAATAAAAGAAGAAAACTAACCAGGAAGTTTACCAAGAGGGAGTTTGAATCAAGGTCCAGAATACAATTTCTGTGGAACATTTCTTCATTAGTATGTCTCATTCATACGTGTCTTAAAGACAATAGCCAGAAAAATTGAAATTTTCATTTCCATGATAAGTTAAATACCCTTCATTTGTGAGAAAAATAAGCTGGCATCTGATCTTACATGTACTTCAAATTATTCCCTCTTATTTATAAGTCGAATCCCTTCTTAACTTTTTTAGACATTCATGAAAAAGGTAGGTACATGTACATCTCCAGAATCCGTTTTTTATCTCCGCTTTTTTGACGAAGTTTTCATAATTGACATAAAACACAAACAAAGAATATGAATATATAGAACTTCCCTCATGAGAGACCATGAAACAAAAAGCTGTTCTAATATTTACAAGTATATGTATAGATAGCAATCCAATATTTCAAACAGATATTGAGTTTGGTTAAAGTTTCCCAATGAACCAACGTATCATTCAGTGGTTTACCTTCATTGCGGGCCCATTGTTTTTCACCTTTCGACGAATCGTTCCATTAGGATATCGAAACACTTCGATAACTTTACTACTGGAGGTTTCATTCCCTCTTGCTGGCTTCTTACGTTCGCGAATCTTCGTTACTTCATGCGTTCCCTTTTCGTCAGTGTTTTTTTCGTACACTTCAACCTTCTCATGAAATGAATCCGACGAACTCGATGAGCCTGACGAGGTGAACGAACTGGATGAGCTTGACGAGCTAAACGAACTGGATGAACTTGATTCCGACTTCTTATCCACGCCGCCATCGTTCCATGAGTCCACGTCGCCAAGACTCTCTTTGGGAAAATAGAACTCAGATGAGGACTGTCCAGTGTTTAATATAAGAAAAACAGAGAGCGAAAATACTATGAAATTCTTCATTGCTGATCTCAAGTTGAAACACCACACTTTTACCAAAACAAATTGCAACTCCCGCAGTTACTCGATTGCTTACACGTACGTAATGTAAGCTGTCATGGAAACTCTCCTACAATTCAAATGTCCCGGATGGAAATGAGCCACATTGTCAGTGCAGTCACCTGTAAGGTGAAATCACTAAACGTCTTAAAATCCTCAAAAGTTACTTTCTTTTGATTTCCTGGGGGATATAATTTCTTTCTTTATATGACATATGATAATTTCCCTTCTTGTTGTAATCTCGATCTGTTGCAAAAATACAGAGCAGAATTTGTTGACAGGTCAAGCCTGAACAAGTATAAATTATTTATACAGTTGATTTTCATGAACCCTATTTCAACGCGTTCGTGCGTTCCTACCCGCGAAATATATGTGTTATTATCCAGCCATTTTGACCGAACATAAGATTGGTCAATTAAAGATTTTTATATTGGAAAAAGATTTCGCTCTATTGATAATGAAGAATGACTTGTTTGCTTCGAGATCTGGGAATGAAAGTTGACTGTGTTTGTAGCATAATAGACTCACGAGAGTCGCCTCTGTCTTCTTTTTTAACCCCTTTTTGCGTCTCCATTATCGGCATTGTTCAAGAACTACGAACTTAGTACTTATTCAATTTTTTTCAGGGCGGGATCAAAGTGGTAAATCCGGAGCAAGGCCAATCTTGCCCGCTCAGGAGGCCAATTAGAACACAAGATTCGCAAGATTCACTTTAATTGCTCACGGGCGCTGCCAGCGATATCATAATTAATGTTCTGCCCAGTCTACCAACTCACTAACAGTTTCTCCTTGTTTCGGCGAAAGACGTTTTCATGGAGAATTGTGCGCGAGTGAATATGTGTTGGACGTGTAGGAGAGATGGGGGGGAAGGGGCAGAAGGAAGAGGGGGATAGGCGCATCATGCAAGATTAATACAACTAAGACTTACAGTGAAAGATTTCCGATTTTGGATGCTAGTGCCCGATTTCCAATTTTGGACCTTAGTGTACGATTTTCAATTTTCAACTCTTTGTGTCCAATTTCCGATATTGGATACTAGTGTCTGATTTTATACTCTAGTGTGCGATTTTAAACACTAGTGTCCGATTCTACACACTAGTGCCCGATTTCCGATTTTACACAATAGTGTCCGGTTTTCCATTTTAGGCACCAGTGTCCGATTCTGATTTTAGACAGTTATGTCCAATTTTATAAGCTAGAGGAGTTACCAAACCAACGACACATTTTACTTTAAAAATACGTATCTTTATTGCATGCAAAAAATAAATGTTTGCAAGTCGAACAATATGAACATTTACAATGTTATACTGACGGAATCTAAACCTCTAAAGGAATCAACACATCAAGCCTTAGTACAATGTCTTCAAAAATTTCAAATGCGTAGAAATAGAAAAATTTGAGCAATACCCACACAGCTTGAAACCCTTGGTCATCCGTAATTAAGACGATTTCATTCATGGCTACAAAATGCTTAATGGCGATTCACTGCTACTTACAACTTGAATTAACGATTTGGTTTTAGATCCATGATAATTTTCTACAATTTCAAATAATGAAATGATAAATATGAAAATACCCTAAATTTACTTGAACGTTTTACGAGGCTACCCTTGATCGATAGTCCATGATGCTCCCTATGTCCAGACTAATAAAGCAAGTGGAATGTGAATTTATTTTCATTAATGGGTACCCATACGTCACCTACCAAATAATATAACCTGTATAATAAACATGTGCCTAAATTGTCGATTATATTAACAGAAAAACGCTCTAAAATAGAATCCCAAATAAGGATATAAGAAGCCGTTCGAATGCGGAAAAAACGTCCTCAGTAACATGTTACACTTCATTTCCATAACTATTCTTCGACCATAAATTACTACAGCGAACTGTTCAAAATGGAGAACGATGGTGATCTTTCTTCACAAGCGACTTCTGACTTCAAAAACTAGGCCCATGTAGGCCAAAATATTTGATGCAAAATTGACCCCTATACATCTATCAATTCCTGTACATGAAGAAGCAGTATCTTCATTTTCCCGCAAACATGCATTTAACGGAATGTGCAATTGTGTCGAAAACGCTACCAAGTGCTTGGTCATGTTTTTTTTGCTAAAATGAACGCAAACAGATGAATGAAGATATTTCGTTCTTTATAATTCGTGAACGGAAAAACAGTGAACGAAAAAAGACTACCCATTTTTTTACCGATGGAAATATTTATATGAAAAAATTTGCGCTTTAAATAATGTTTGGGCACCCGTATGCAACGATGAAATTCCATACAATTTTAGCTACAATTGTACAGATTATCGTGTACAATAGCAAAGACCCCTTTACATCGACAAAAATACCAGTCACCATAATTTAAGTAAATAGAGGCCACTCCCAACGAAATACACTAAGAAGTTATAATTACGACCAGTTTTTTTCCCTTCTGAATGAAATCAGAAAAGCCAACGATTGGTTAACAGTTTGATTCCAATGGCTGCGACAGCCTCGCTATGGCGTTCTCGAGAGTCATCCTGTGTCCCAGGCTCTTAACTCCCAGTTCGCGCAGTTCAGCCTTCGTTAGTTCGGGAAGATGGATTCCCTGGATGTCGTTGTCCCTGAAAGTCTCTTTATATTGAGCCATGTTTATGGAATCCAACCAGCCGCACACGTCGTCGCAATCCCACTCTAACACTGGTTTCTCTAAGAATGGTTGCCTAAAAGACAATATTATTCATAGTAAGAATTTATACAAAACACAGTGACGAAAGTGGTCAGCTAGACTGAAATCTACTTGAAAGGAAAAATGAACCATATTTCACTTCCAATGGCTCATATCCCACCTGATACTGAACAGAAAATGTTCAAGCGTGTTTACACTACTTGTCCGATCCTACGGGCTCGCAGAGAAACCAACCGTCAAATTGGCTTTTAAACAAGAAGGGGCTAGGTTGTGACCCCAATCTCTTTCCCGCAAAAGATCTTACACGATACCTAGAGAAAAACTAGCAGGCTACAACTAGTCTAAGTGAGTTTAGAGTGTTGTTCAGCGGCAGTGCGTTAAGCATAAGAGCGCACTTTTAATCGGTTTACCAGCGTCATAACCCACGTGAAATGTTAGAAGAAAATGAGAACTGAATCACGAGCCGATAGCGAGTAATTGTAGCCTTTCCGAGTGTTGAACCAACATCCTAAGTGGGTTATTACGCAAATAAACCGATAGGAAGTGCCGACAGTCTATAGCTTTTATAAAATAGCCATGAGTTTTCAGGGTAATTTAATAACCGTAAGGCGAAACCCAAACACGGGAGCCTGCTCGCAAGCTAAACAGACGGTGGTGAGAGGTTTTATAGACCCGCACCCATAAAAGATAAGTTTTTAACAAAACAAAGCGAGAGTTACATCTCAGTTATTATTGTGTAAACAGTAATATATCAGACCACTCATACTAACATTGGCCGAGAGTATCCACCAAATATGGACGATATATCTGTATAGCCTACCGAATCCTGGATTAAGATAAAATACACAAATGTTACATATATACCAGTGACTTTTAGCTGTGAATTGACAACAACAGAGTTACGACTATGGACTTCTCTGTGGTTTAAAGAAGACTAGCTTTCTAACATTTTCGATTTTTTTTGAACAATTCAATTAATTTTGGCTATATACGATTTAAATGATCTGGCCGGGTAGTCCTCATCAACAGTCGAATGATAATTAAGTATGAAACAGTTTGGTTCGCCAGTTCTACCTAGTGGTCAAAATCCGGCACGTCAAACACATATCGGCGTTTTTCGCTCGCAATCAAATCGCCGCAATCGGCGATTAAATCGCAAAGTGTGTCGCCACCTTAATCTGTTTGTTACTTTTATATGTGTGCGTCTTGCGAAGGAGAACTATGGAAAAATGCGATACGTAACATTTCTAATTCGTATTTTCATCATGCAGCACACAGATCAAGAAAAAGAACCACACCTACCTTACTACTATCATCACTTTCTGCTGATGGAGAGGCACAATTTCTGTTCCCAGTATCTTCTTTTGAATTGAACACTAATGTTTTGGATTCCCGCGGTGAAAATTCAGGAGGGGGAGGTAGAGGCGGTGAATCTAGCGGTACATGCGGTTCGTCTTTGTCTGTAAATAAATCAGGCGGTGGTGGTAATTCAAATCGACTTTTCCCACTTTCCTTTTCTACTACTGGTGTTTTCAACTCCTCGTCAAGATCTGATTCCTGAGGGACTGCCTCGTTTGGTAGCATTTCCTTCTGTGAATCAGTTCTCGTTGACTCAATAACTCTGGGTGTTAGTGGTTCGGAAATGTCTATATCATTAGAATCCGTACGAGAAGAAGTTCTAACTGGTTTCGATGAGTCGCTTCGTTTCGACTCAATAGTCAACTTAATCTGAAAACCCTTCTTGGTTGTAATAGTCTTGGTTACTTTCTCTGGCTCAGAGGTTTTCGCAGGTATACTTTCCTCTGATTGAGAGCTGCTCTCGTACCACGGCTTTAACAAATTTTCTGAGTCTTTATTTTGTTCCGCAGGCCATACGGGCGGAGGAACAAACACCTCACTGCTTGAATCGCTGCCTGTGCCACTGTTCCAAGAGTTCAAACTCCAATTTTCACTCTCTGCTTCTTTTCTAATAACTTCGTCCAAAAACATAACAGACTTGTCCTCCTCTGACAAAACCGGAGCAGGTATTTCAAACGGCAGAGAGCGTTCTTCCCCAATTCTTGGTGAGTGATTACCAGTGTTCAAAGTTGTTCTTCCTTCTCTAAATTCGCCTTCGTATTTTCGTTGTCTTATATCTAATGAACTGAATCGCTTCTTGGGAGCGACAGGAGGTGAGGGTTTACCGCGAGAATTAACTGCTCTCACTTCCACTTGAGATTTTATTTTGTTATTATTCAGTTCTTTGAGGTCAGGCCCTCTCTGAACAGCAACATAATTGGGTGAACTTGCAGTTTGTCCAACATACCTTGATGAACTCTCAGTTCGTCCTACTGGGTTCAAATCAGCGTCTGAATGAGACTGAGTAGAAATGCGAGCTGCACGTGCAGCTACAGCCTTCGCTAGTAAATCTGAATGCTGTGTGGCAAGATTAGGCGATGTACCGGACGTTGGCGCGAGTCCTTCTCTTGCTGGAGAAGACGCATTTGAAGATATCCCTTTCTCGTTAGCTGTAGATTTCAGCTTTGATTTCTTAGCGGATAATGCATCAGCGGTGATCAGCCCCTTTGTGACCGGTGTCGAGGGAATGTCTTTATTTCGCATGGTAGGAGGTGGAGGCGGCACCGCAGGCTTACCCCGAACACCCAGCTGTATCTGCTGCGATGGCGCAGCTGGCGGTTTAACAAGTGCCTGCGCCCTCGGTTGACGATCGAAGCTGACTGGTTCCGACAACTGTCTCTGCAAATTCTCACTCCCTTTCTTGGTATTCCTGTGGACAGCCTCCGAGGTATCCAAAGATGACTGTCTATTCATGTCGCGAGTTGGAGACGTGTAACGACGGAGGATATCAGCCGAAGAAGACATCACCAGTCCCTTCTTATTTGAATCGCTTTGCTCGTCCATAGCGGGAGAGATGGAATTCTCTTTATTAATTCGGTATTGCTTCTCCTGCTGTCGTGGCATCGTATGGCATCGTTCACGTTCTCCCACCTCTACCTTACAATCGTCTTCCGTGAATTTTTCTTCAAGCCTCGTCATTATGTCGCTGCGAACTTTCTGAGATGCATCCACCGTCTTACGAGGATTTAATTTTGTCGGAGTACTAACCCTTCTTTCTCTTGCATTCGTTACCGCAATAGATGACGGGACCTCAGTTTCTGGAGCAGACGACTTCCGACTAATCCGTTGATTCCTTGCTGCTACGGCTTCTTGAAGAGCATCAGATAACGTTCGTGGCTTAGGAGGAAGAGCAGGCTTCTCAGCCTTTTTCCTTGTTGACTGGACTTCACTGGAAGGCACCCTATGGGTATCCGGAAGGGTTGTCGGCGTCGACTCGACTACTTCTACTGGAGTTGCTACCACTGTTATCTCGGGCTTGGCCTCTGTGCTCTGCACAGCTACAACGGTGGCTTTTACTGGCGAGGTAACAACAGCCTCCACGTTGGCAGAACCCTTTGCTCTCGTTTTGCTTCTGTCCAAAGTACCGTAGTTATACGGTCCATGCATGGAGTCGCGTCTTACTTCCTTCGGAGGAGAGCCATAGCCATTGTTCCAGCCATTATCTATAATTGGTTTGTCAAGATTAGGGGTCGACATGGCTGTTAAGTGATATTTTGATAACGCGGTATTATCTACCGACATTGACCGCGGCAGTCTGGGATCATCCGGCACAACAGGCATGTCCACCGGTACTGCAGCTGAGAGAGGTCGCTTACCCACCACAGATTCATACGAGGGAGGTAACATATTCTGCACTGAGTGCGCCCTTTGATAACCAATTTTTCCTCCGCTCTTTAGGTCCCCACTTGATCTGCGTTTAACTAACGTTTGTGATTTCATTTGAACTCCAACTGGTTTACGAGCCTGAGGCTTTTGTCGCTGAAGACTGTGCCAGCGGTTTTCCTTTGAAACAGTTATGACACTGTCCACGCGGTAGCTCGCGGGCTCTTCAAAGCTTTCGCCCATGCTCATCTCTGTGGAAAAGGAAATCATTTTCTTCAGAAAATAGTATATTCTTTTAAGTAACCAAAAGCTAAAGGAAACGTAATGATAGCATTCAAATACAACCTGATAGCGAAGGAGAGCAAACGGCCACAAGAAAAGACCAACATTGGGGAATTCGCACCCCATGCTTCACGTAGAGCATGATGGCCTCTCCTTTGCCTTTACACTCAAAACTATCCAAAGGCAGTCAACGGATATAAACGAAAACTGAAATCCAATGTAATTGAATCTCGAGCATTTGCAACTGCACTTACAAAACATCTCACAACTTGCCTTTAAGAGGATTAAACGGTGCCTGAAGGCTAATGTGTCAGAAATCTTAGGTGCATTGTTCCAAAAACTTTTATAAATGCAAGGAAATACATGTCGCTCCATGAGACATCCGAGCTCTGCCAGTGCACAGACGTGCTTAAGACAAGGCGGTCGGCTGCTCGGTTGTCAGGTTAACTAAGAAAGTTAGCTTTAAACTCACCGAAAAGCGAGGGTCGACTGGAAGAAAGCGTGCTCATCCGACCCAAAGTCAGCGTAGTAGATGGATCGCGGTTTGGAGGAGGCGGAGGAAGTTTGTTACCTAAAAGATCACAAGCCATAATATCATATTAGGCACATGACAGTGTACAAAACAAAACTTTCAAATTGAACCTAGGTAGCTAGCGTTAACATGGCGTACCGTTACCATCTTTATGATCAGTTCCATTTACCGCAGGACTTTTTGCTGTGACTATTTTCAAATTAACCAACTTGACACTCTTTTGAATCAACGCCACCACGTGGCCATGCGTCGCTGTCCTCACATCCTCGCCATTAACCTGAAAATGAGAATTTATGATGAGAGAAAGCACAAGAAACAGTTTCCAAAATGTTCTCGCACAGAGTAAATGCAGCTACACTTGCTAGCAAAGATTCGTGCTTATAAATGTTTGTGCGGTGCCGAGGTCAGTGGGAGGGGGGAAAGTGGATTGTACCCGGCAAGGTGAAGTATTAGAGACCAAGAGACCAATAGCTGCTGGAGATCATCAGCGCTTTCTGTAGCTTGACGCAACTCAGGACTGCGTCTCCTCCTACCAGAGGAACTTTTTTGTCCCTCGCGGTTTTCAAGGCTCTTGGGTGATGAAAGGCACTATGAGAGTAGTAGCCATGGCTCGAACCCAGACTTCCCTCGTCTCGCACACGTTTGGCGAAAAGCTTGCATGTAATTGCAGTAGCGAGGATGTATACTGACCTCTAATATAAAGTCTCCTGCCTTTATACCTTTCACGTCTGCCTGACCACCTGCTTCCAGTTCCCCAAAGTATTGAAGAGCTGGAAACTCAGCAGTAGGCACAAAATTCAGTCGCGGAACTTGTGCTGCCGACGGAAACAATAAAGCAAGAATGACACGAAATTTCGTTATCGAAAGTTTTGAAAAAAATTCAATTAAAGGCTCGGTATACCATGTTTGTTGTCTCATATTTTTCACGAAGAAGCTGTTTTTCCCACTCATTTTTGCTCGTCAAACATGTTCCTTTTGATGTCCTTTTTTTCTCGATAATGTTTCAGTCTAAAGCCGTCGTAATGTTAAATTTTCTTATCCCAGCTGTCTCTTCCTGGCTTAGTAATAGGAATCGCACTGTTCAGATCTTCTGTGAAGGCTTTGACTTCTAGTTCCTTCATAAATCATATTTACATTCAATAGTGGTTCTTCTTCTGTGCCCGTAATTTGGGAGGTAACGCAACACTGACTGGTAACAATACACTTTAAGAAGCTGATCGCGTTACTAACCAACGAAAAGTTGGTGTAAGTGACAATTATTAGTGTAACTTACAATTGGCTCCTCTCATCTGAAAGCCAAAACCAGCACTGCTCCTGAGTAGAGTTACAATCCGAGGAGCTTCAGCAGAGTTGTTTAAGCCAACGTGGTTCAAGTCTTGAGAATTGCTGACAAAAAGAAACAGTAGCAACAGAATGAAATGGTTCAAGATTGAAAAAAAAAAAGAAAGAAAATCAACCCTTCATTATTACTTACTACACTCCCATTGGCCTCACAAGAAAGGGGCAAACAGTTAAACTGTTATAGGTAACCCTTCAACTGAGGTTTTATTGATAAGTATATTAAAAACGTTTTTTAAAGTCGCCTAAGAGTCTCGTGAAGACTAAAATAAAGCTAACGACAGAAGACACTGCGAGTGACAAGACGTCACGAAAGAAGCCAAGAGTCTAGCTTGTACACCGTATGAGTTTTTACAACACCCTGCAGTGCACAATGGCAAAAGGCTTGTTATTTCAATCACTACTTAAGAGTACTGACCTTTTGGCCTGTGACGGTGGCCGAGCAAACATCGTCTTTGGTCTGGTTTTTCCTAAATTACATGGACGAAATATAACGAGATTAGAGTATGAACTTTTATACATTCAAGGTAAGAAACCTCAGCTTGACTACCAGGCATATCAATACAACATTATAACATGAACCTCAAACCAGCCGCTTTTTGTCCGTCATGACACTCTGTGGGCGAGCATTGCGTGACAATCATGATAACAGCCATAGAGCAGAACTCACCGGAAACTCAACAACTGACACTAAGTTAATAAGATACATTTTACGAATCGTCAAACTTTGAGTTAAAGAACACTACTACCTACAAGGAAACCCAACTAAAAACAAAGTCCACATAAAGCTAGCCGCAAAAGTCTCCGCGTGCGATTTTCGTTTAGCTTTTTCCTCTATCTCGTTTTTTCTAGACGCAGATAACGTAGGGATTGATGTTAATGCGAGAAGTAAATCTTGAGATTGGACCGCATGCGATAAAGGAATAAACCGATATCACTGATGTCAGAGTCACGTACCTTTTCCTTTCTTTTCTTCGACACATGAATGGTGAAACCAGCCAGTTGAATTTCCTACTCGACCTTCCCAGTAGCCTTTCTCGCCAACGAACAAAACTAGAAACACATCAAATTCATTACAACACATATTGAAACAATACAAAGCCACAAGCACTTCAAATTAAAAAACACTTTGCTATGGCACCCTAATTCCCATCAATCAGATTGGCACTACAATCTCCAATGATACCCATTTGTATAACATGAAATAACATACTTTTTGTCAATTGACACATTGACGTAGGCAGGTCAAAAATGAAAGATTAAGAACAGGCGTCGTTTCAGCCCTTTTATGAAAAAATAACTATTACGAGTCTGAGTTCTTTTGTAATCAACTCCCTGGCTATGTACACAGCACAAGCTGTCCAGTATCACGCAATGTGACTAACGTGTTATTTTCGAGATCTCAGTCTGTCTGACCTTCAAGCTATTAATTACAATAGCCTTTACATAAACAATTCAACAGTTCTCGCCCAAGAGATTTCTCATAATGGTACATATTTTGGCAATTACACATTTTAAGTTTCATAATCACGAAAAGCACTGATAGCTCTCTAGTCCTCCTCCCACACTCACCTTAGGCAGCATCATTGATCAAAACCGACAGACATTCAAGTTCGGTTCTAAACCGCGACGTTACATGACAGTTCATTGGTGATGATGTGCAGTCAAACCAGTGGATTGCGTTAAAACAACTGTAACTAAATATCTGTAATCTACAAGAAATCTACTCCATCACTATGCCACCTACCTTCCACTTCGTCGCCTTTCTCGAGCGCCAATTCTCCTGCCATTAATGGTCTATAATCCTTGATAGCCACAAAACGTCTACCAGGTACGCTGGCGTAGAGTCTCTTTCGTATTGTTGCTGCACCAGATACTGCTTTAACGGGTGGTACAGCTGGTTTTTGTGAGATGTTTGGCTCTGAATACTGACGCCATGTTCGTTTCTTCCGCTTCTCGTGGTCGCGTGGGGACATTTCGCCAGAGTCTGACTCCGAACCGTACGAAGAATCAGACGCCGTGGAACTCGCTGATAAAGTTCTGTTGAGATTCTTGCGGGATCCATTATGGATTTCGGTATCGCCATTCATTGTTACAGTAGGTTCGTCGACCGATGCTGTTTCTGAGGCCGTGGTGGATGGGAGACTGTGTATTGACGAGTCAGGCGACGGCGGCGACGAGTCGCTCTTGACAGACAATTGAGTTTCCGAAGGTGTCCGAGGAAACAACGACGATGCCTTCGGCTTGGAAACAGATTTACGACGACGGGTACTGTAGCTCGGTTTTCCAGAGAATTTGACTGGGAAAAAGAAAGATAAATTTCATCGATGCAAGTTTACTGAAAAACCTATTCGAGGTGAAAACCAATAACAATTGTTTACTGATCTAATTTACAATATGCGCAGCCATACCTATATCCTTCTCACTGAAATTTTTTATCAACTCAGCGATCTCTTTATTCCCACCAACAGCGGCAACCTTGAAGAATCAAATAATAAATTAATTACTCATTTTTTGCTTTCAATATTGCGGATTCAAGGTTCCGCGTCACAAATACAAACCCTATATTTAGCTGCAGCATTAACTTTTCAAACACTACTAACAGACTACATCTATAAATAGAGTAATTAAACCTTTGCATATGGCGAAGCAATATGGAAAAGAGACTGAAATAAGAGAACAGTTACAGAACTTTATCTGGAAGAACTCCCACTTGAGAGCGACTATTTACATTTTACTAAAACCTATATATTTGACTTGTATATATCTGTTCTGTACGAGCTCATTGACTTGACAGCTTATGTCCCATTCTAAGAATGAACTGAACACAAAAAACAAGGAATAAACAAACAAACGAAAAATTGCAGCTAAAGGTATCCTCGATTAAGTCAAAACTCGGTCTGACTTAAAGACGAACCCATTTGCCTCATGCAATCTTTCTATTCATCATTCTCCTGCTAAAACGTTTTGCGGAATTTGAAAAAAGCTCAAACGCGATGGTTTCAGACAATGCCATGAATTGTATTCTGGAATCATCATTTAAGTTTATTCAGCGGAACACAAGATATTGGGCTTTAGAAAATGACAATATAAAAAATGTCTGATGCATAATCTTGTGACACCTGGCAGAGAAAACATCACAGTACGCATCCAAAAAAGAAAAAAAAGAGTACAAACTAACAAAAACCGAGATAAAAATAATTCATGCCTTTGCCCAGGGGGGATAAAACTTGTTTGAAAAAAAACTCGCCAGCCCGCATTATAAAAAGTTGAACTTCACCAGGTTCAGAATGAAAACAGTTTCTCTATCTCTCTCTCTAAATATCCACTGTCAATTCAAAAGTACGGTTTCTTGAAGTAAGAACGGAAACTGATCGTTGTAAAAGCAGCTGGCAATATTACAAGAGAATATAAACAACTCACTTCCATCTTTGAAATAAAAACAAAACTCTGTTTCCTAAAGTTTGACCCTCCGGACGGAAAGTTAGAATGTCAAATTGACGAGTCTCACGAAACAGGAACTCGGACAAACCTACCTGTAAGAATGTTTTCTCTAAGATTATGCTATTAACTGATGGAATTTGGAATCATCAAAAGAGTATAAAATGTCCACATTCTTTGCCCTCACTCGTGAAAAAAGCCGCGTAACACGATAGCAGCACATTAAGTTGGAAAATAGTGTTCCGTCTCAATATGCAAATTTCTAAAAGATTATGAGCTAACCAGATGTCACGCGAACTAAAATAAATACTTTCCTCGAAATTTTACCCAACTTTAATGCAAAAAGATAAGAATAGCACATTACATCATACAATGCCGAGAATATGACATTTTCACTTTCTGTGCATTCAATTTGAAACATTAATGGATTAGATCCTTAAAAGTCCGCTGTAATAATTCAAAAATATTCCTCGACCACAATGATCAAATTAAACGTTAATTGTCTTTATTTGGGCTCAAAGCCCCACGCAACCTGGGCCTTCACGCCTGGATTTTCTATGTGATAAATACAAATAAGAACTTAGGGTTTATAATCCGAATGCTTACATCCACAACAACTTAATCATTATCTTACCTCGTATGCAGATTGATTCGCGTAGTTCAAGATATTTCTCTTCGCTCCTCTGAACAACAGAACTCTAGCACATTCATCCTGAAGAAGAAAAGAAAACCACATCAACCATAGCGTTCAAATGCTAAACAAACTACATCTATACAAATAATTGATAACTGCAGTTCGTGTGCAAGCGGAATACCGCAACAAACTTAAAATAAAATGGATTGACACGGCCCAAGCGGCTCCATTTTGTGGAGCCTTAAAAATCTTGTAAACTGATTCTGAGCTGTATCTATCGATTTTACATTACCTAACACCTACTCGGGGTTTATAACTATAACAGCATTGTACGTCTATGGTAAATTCCTATCGCACACGTGGCTCGATAACCTGTTCAAACCTTCAATATTTCTTTTGGTCGAAGTTAAAATGACGTGACCACCGAAGCATTTCCTAAAGAATAAATTTGCTGCAGTCCATGGCTTATGCATGAATATACAATGCCGAGACTCTCCTAAAATAGCACATCCATACTGATTGGTGACAGTCATGATTCAGGTGTTCCAACGTTTTAATTGAAATACGACACTTTCATGTATATTCGTTAAAGTGTATGTCAGAAATTATGAATGAATGCTACTTAGAAGGGAAAACTGTCTCAAGCTGTAAGTACCTCTAAACAAAATTCACTCCTTTCAAATAAACACAAGCATTGTACACAGTAGTTTTCTTGGGTCATAGAACATCACTCTTTCATCCACAATTCATTGCATCACCTTTTTTTTTTCTTTGCTAAGTGCTTACATAAAAGAAAAGAAAAGACATGACGAACGGTTTCAAGTGGCGATCTAAGCACAGCCTGACGGACGGTTGCGCATTGTACAAAGCAAAGCCTATTAATCAGCAGAGGTCCCTTTCACTTGCTGAAACTCGATTGTGATGTAAAAGAAAACTGCGTTCTTACTATGATTTCCCATGCAACCTTATAAAAAGGAACGAGTTATGCGGTGAGGAGTATTGTGTAATTGTTTTGGGCTGATTTCACTTTGATGCGAGGTATCTACTGTGACGTTTTGAAGTTTCTATTCCGGCATTTTCATTTAAATAAATCATGCGTTGAGTAAACTACAGAAAAGGGCCCGCAGCCATTGTCGCTGGTTTTTGTCTATGAGTAATGTAAACACGAACGGAAAGTCGCTAATTCTGTTCTGACCAATGTTGACAAATAAGTTTACGTCTGCATGTACAGGTACACATATTTCCGATGTAAGTGAGATTGACTGTACTCACGTTTTAGTCACAATATTTTGTAATTATAGCAACATGCCATGGATACAGTCGATCGAAATCAATGAATACGAAAAACAATTTCAATTTTACCCAGCCACAGCTCCATGATCCGCTTTTATTTGCGGTCATACATGCAAATTTAAACCTCTACAGAGTAATTTTCATTATCTGATCGCTGATTCTCCTAAGGCTCCTGTACACTGTAATCAGTTGGGGGAATTTAGTGATATATCATGATGGCAGCCTAAAGGAGATAATTTATTGTCTACTGTTATCACCTGTTTACTGGGTAATAAATTGCTCAAGGGTGGAAAAGTTGCGCGTTTAAAGTTACTTGTGGTAGTTATTGACAATTAAGCAACTTGTGAACCTTGTGGATACTGAGAGGTTACCAGATCAAAATTCATGTCAGTTTATAAAGTTTACTTCGGACGTGAGTACCTGATTACTAAGAGCAGCCACATGCAATGCTGTGTTGCCTGACGCAGTACGAGCATCAATCTGAGCTCCATAAAATAACAGGTGCTCCAAGTGCTGAACAAGACCATTTTTACAAGCCTAGTGACACATAACAAAAAGCAATTTAAATAAAGAAATGAATGCACACATACAATTCAGGTCAAACCTTATTGATGTGTTAATGAAGGACATGTGTATGTCATCATTATTACACCTTATGGAGTTTTGTAGATACATGTACATATGTATGTTATGTATCTTTAACTGAAAGAACCGCAGTGAAGCCAGTACGATCAAGGTTATGGCAACAACCTCAGCTCTTTGAAAAAATGAGACAAAGTTCCAGTTGAGCCCCTCCATTCTACAATTTTGATAACGTGATGCTGTTCTCAAGACCAATTTTTTTAATCCTGAAAAGAGGTGAAGGTTCAGTAATTTCCTTCACTTGCAAACTCAGTATTATTTGAACTTCAATCTTGACAACTGGGAAATGTTTGCGACCAGAAGTTTACCATGATCATAGGGTTCAGCAACATCTAGAATCATCTAGATCAACTCTGTACTAAGGCCACACTGGAGTAATTAGAAAAGTTAAAAGCTGAACATTCTCACAGACAAACTTTTATGAATTGGGCATTTAGTGAAATGCATGGACATAAACACAAGCAACTGTATACAAAAAATCAATGACATTCACTACAACTACAGTATGTATGAACAACATAGCAATTTTTACCAAGTGTATTTCCTGCTTGCCCTGATGGTCAGCAATGTGCAGCTCAGCTTGATCATTAAGAAGAATTTCACAGCAGTATGGGTCACCACCATAAACTGCCGTGTAGAATAATGGTGTGAGGCCCTGCAGAGAGTAAACATCAATAATAAAAATAAACTTGTATCTCAGAAAAAGTTTTTTTCTGCACTGAAAAGTACATACTCTCATCATGCACCAACTAATTATGAATGTGGGAAGGCACACTGGCCAAATACAGGGGTCTCTTGTTCTTTTTGCAACAGTCCCACTGTCATACCTCACAGACATACTCAAAAACTTAGAAAAATAAACCAAACCACAGTTAAGAAAGCCTTCTAGAAATTTATACCCCTGTCACAGGTAAGACACTTCAAAACTGAGCCATACTTTTACTTACTTTCAAGTCTTTGTAATTTGGTGATGCTCCAAAATCCAAAAGGGTCTGAAAAAAAAAAAAAAAAAAAAAAAAAAAAAAAAAAAAAAGATGAATGATGCCAATCAATATATACAGTTGTAACAGTACCACAAAATAATTCAACAGGAGGAAAATTCAAGTTACCTTGACAGATATTGCTTTTCCAGCCATTGCTGCTCTGTGAAGAGGAGTCAGTCCCTCTTGTGTCCTGTAGTCCAGCAATGCTCCTCCATTTACCAAAGTGACTATCATTTCCCTTGCATTGTCTTTGGTTACTGCTACTGTTAGTGGTGTCTCTGTAAATCAAGGTGAAAAGTTGAATTAACATGTTTAAACTCAATTTTTCTGGTTTTGTTTACTATCACTTTTTGACTTCTTGATTTTTTGACACCCAAATTTTTTGCTCTTTGCAATTGCATGCAATTTTTGGTGCATTTTATTCCCTTGTTTTGTTAATGCATACTTAAGGGGTACTGTAGTTTTCTTTCCTTCTTTCCTTTTTTTAACAGAATGACTGCCTTTGAAGTTGATCCCTTTACAAAGAGCCATTTACTTAATAAAGTTATCTTATACTACTGGTAAATATATGATGCAAACAAAAGATACAGATACAGATACGGATACATGTAAACTATTACAAAGCTTTTCCAAGTATAATCCAATTTTTTACCTCCAGTGCGATCATCATGAAAATTAGGATCAATTCCCTTCTCAGCCATCTTGCCCACTTGGCTAACTGCACCAGAGGAGACCAGCTCCAAGAACTTCTTCTGATTTGTCTTAAAGAAAGAGATTAAGCATCAAAAGTTAACAGGGATGTCCACAACCAGGAGCAAGTTAACCAATTACATGAAGTCATGAATTTGTTTCAGCTGAATGACAGGTCAGAAATGCAAACAAAATCTTGAAAGTAAGAACTACTTTACAGCATCCTTCACTTTAAAATGTTCTGAAATGAGCAAATCAATATATGCTTAATATGCTGGTCCAGTTCAGCTGCAAGCTGGTTTGAATGGGGCCTTAAACCACTTCTTATTTACAGTAGGCACAACTAAACAAAGTTAGCAACATGTAAATGACTGACTACATTATACAATGTATATTTTCATTTACCTTTACATTCAGTTTTTGCAGAGTCTTCTGTTCATATGCCATGGAACGGTAAATTCTCCGTTTGTTTTTGAACTGTAACAAAATCAAGTTACATTAAACACTATACAGCTACACCAGGCAGAGTAATAAACTTAAGCAAATAGCAATCATGATTACCACAAACTTGATACCCAGCACCCTCTAATTTCTGGTAGCATCTGCCTTACTTGTTTATTCCCTTCTACATAAAAACCTCATCTGAAGGATTCAAGACAGCCTGGACGATAACCACAATAAACAGTCCAAAAAGTACATGTAATCATAGTCACAATTGTATGAATAACTAATACGTAATTACTTCATAAGTCAATGCATACCTCAAGAACTGGAGGTGATCCTGATAATGGATAATCAGTGAATAATCTCTCTTCTTCAAGAAACTTGCCTGACTTTCCATTGCATGGTGGGTCATAGAATCCATAGTTTGCAGCATCTTTCACATTCTAAAATGTTCACAATGTAATCAAGGGATAAGATTTTAAAATGTTAACTTTTTCAAGGTCACATATTATAAGGCACCAGATTAAATTTAAGTAAGGAGGAGGAGGCCCTCCCCCCCTCACACCGACCAGTTTTTTCTTTTAGCTCTTATTTCCTGACAGTAACTCTTTAATAAAATTTGACCTCAAAGTTGTGTTTTTTGAAAAACATCACAGCATGCTGCTGTTATGGCAAATTGTGATGATAGGAGGAAACATAAAGTACATGTACGTCTGTCTCAGCTTCTTAAAAGAAGGCTGGCAATTTAGAGTTTCTTGTACATGTATCCTTACCTTAATTAAATCATTAATCACATGTAACTTTGCATTCCATACTTTGTCGTGAACATCAAAGTGATAAAGTTTCTGTAATATTGAACAAGTATATTATTTAACAAAAAGTTAAAATCAAATTACACAGAAACTGGATGATAGAAATTGAAAAGTTCTATGCTCATTCTAAATGGGAACTAAGCTACAGGTAGATCATCGTATACAATCTTCCACTGAGGCAGTGCAATGCCTACAATACCTATATTTATATCTCAAATAAAGATTTGGTGCCCAAGAGCCTTAGGGCTAATAACACCAACCCAAATCAAGACTATTAGAACAGCCTTTAAGACTGCCCTACCCACCAAAATACTTAAACAGGCACACCATTAAACCTAGTCTCAGCCCAGGTATGATTACATGACTTGCCACGATAAAATTAGATTTCATCAGTGAAAAAACATGAAAAAACAATATAATCAGAAAAATTAAAAAAAAAAAGCTGCAGAGAGAGGAAGGAAAGAACAAAAAATGTTTTTAAAAACGAACACAACCAAACAATACAAATATTGAGCAGATTACAACTATGAAGTACATGCATGTGGGACAATGCACACAAAAACTGTTTGAGAACACCCTAGTCAGCATAAAACAACCATTGAATCAGCCTTGAAAATAGTAGTGCAAGATATGAAAAGCTCAAATATGCTAGCTATCAGATTGCTGGCCCAGAGTTGAAAACCTATCTAACCCATTATTTAAATAGAAGAGTACAAAGTAGGTTGCTGACCTGGATTTTTTTGTCTGGCATAGAAACTAGTACTTCAATAGTGACACCTGTTTCTGTCCCACCACTGCTCTCAACCTTAACATCATCCTTCATCTTGAACCTCAAATGAAATCCTTTGTTGATGTTGATGAACCTTTATCCATTGCCATTGAACAAGCTTGGTGTGTCAAATTCATTTTCCCTACAAAAAACAATATAGTTGGTCGGTCCACAATTTTTTTTTTAATTGATATGCCCTTTAAGTAGCTGAAAAGACTACAAATACATGAAAAAATTCTCATAAATTACACTTGACTTACTATCAATAAAAATACACTGACACCCATGTTTGGTCACCAAGCACAAAGCATTTTTCAAAATAGTTACTACAGTAGAGATCTCTGAAAATACTGCCAAGCAATATAGTTCAACAGACCCAAATTGTAAAGAATTTTTTAATAAGAAACTCTTACATCAACTGATCACAGGATCTACAATTTGGCACATGCACTTTATCATTTATCTACAAATAAAGGGAACAGGAAGCATTCATCTTACATTTGCTGGCACTGAAGTTATTGATAACAGCGCAAAAACAAATTCATGAGTATTTTATCCTTCTTCTGGCAATAATTCTTTTTTCAAATAAATCAAAGTAGATGTGAGAACTAAGTTTCTCTTTTCATCCTCTGATTTGACAAAAAAAAAGAATAATCAAAAAGTAAAGAAACTCACTTGCTAGGTAATATTTTCAAACCCCTTCCACAAAAAAAAATATGTTTAATAGCTGCACACATGATCATGATCACGAACCTGTTCTTACAAGCATAGGAGATGGACCAAAAGTCAAAATTCTTATCATTCAATAATGTGTAAGATTACTTAAATTATGAGCGTGCGTATGGTTAGCAGTCATAGATGGAATACTTTACTGTCTGTTCAGGTGGAAAAATAATGAACCTTTAAAGACAAACTCACAATGGACAATTGATCACAGAAATTACTGCCGTAATAAGCCTATGAAAGACAATAGATCAGAAATCTGGACCAAAATCTCCGTATTATTATGCGATATTTCAAGCTTTCGAAAACAAAACATTTTCACAATATAATCAAATACCACAAAAACGTCAACGACACTTAAGCTTACGTTTAAATCTCCCACAGACGAACTTTTACAGCTACTGGTTTCCTGTGAAGAACATTCCTTCAAGGGGAGCACTAGGTAATTTCACGCTTTCAAAGAAACTCTCTCGTTACATGAACAAATATCATTTTTTCACAAAACATCCAATATAGAAAATTGGGAATACAAACTGGTCAAATATCTTTCCTCTGTAGCTCGAACTAAGCGACCAGAAATTTAATCGATCGTAATGGTGAAACCTCAAACAGTCACGAACGCCAAATATAAAACCTGACCTTCGCAATGGGAATGCTATCGTAACGGAGAAATATGAGCTAAAACATTTCACAGACAATAGTACTAGAAAACTGAAATGAGGAGAACAAACAATTCATACTTCAGGTGGTCGTTCTGAAAATTCTGATAGGGTATAAGGTTTTTAACATCCATACGATAAACTGTAAGATATTCGGGTACGGAAACTACACTATTTACCGGGTGGTGAGGGAAATCACGACATACTCGCTCATAAACAACACAGATGCCCGGCGAAATAATTTTCAGCAAACCAGATATCAGCCGCCAACCAATAATTTAGTAATCTTCGGTCAAAAATGCCATTTATTCGCGATAAACACCTGCCCTTTTTTAAATTAGTTAGTCCAACTTGGATTATGTTTGAATCAGGACAGTTTCAAGTGGGTACAACAACAGAATTCGCGCAAATGCAGAATATGAGCAGAGTTGTCTCATATAGTACAGATTTTCCTAGCAAAATCGCTTGACTCACCTTTTCTTCTCCAAATCAAGAAACTCATATGGTGTAAAACTCGACGAATTTTCAGGTGTCTTGCCCCACTACCTAACGTACAATAACTTCACTTTTCAGACGCCATTTTTTGCGTTCATCGCAACCAACGTATCATTTACATGGCACGTGACCGAAACCGTGAAAACTAATTGGTTGATTGATTCGTGACCTGACAAAGTACTCAAACCCCCACTGTTTGTTTCTTTTGCCGCGAAATTTTCATCGCAGAATCACAATATCTCCGCAAACAAAAAATTGGCTTAATCAATCACCGCTCCAAAGACAACACGAAACTGATTCATTTGAATAATCGCCTCGCCAAATTCATCGCATATTCAAGTACATTGATTTCATATTTTAGATGTTTCAATAGAACATTCTACGTGTCATACCTTTTGAGCGTAGCTTCCGGCGGTTTTCAAACACCCTCTTCAACCAGAAACATTCTAGAAACAAAAGAAGAAAAAGAATTGAACCAATCAGTGAAAAAGTTTGAGTGACTCTATTGTTTGATCAAGAAAAGAAGTAGAAGGTTTTGGATGATAAGGATGGGATTATAAATAAAAATAACAACATCTACCGGAAACGATTATTGTATAGCAGTCGTAATCGTAAACTACGTAAGCAATTCGTCTGAGAAAGCCTTGTTACGCGATAAAATCAATATATAAGTCTACGGAGCTTCTTTCCATTCTTCATTCCATTTCTGCAGGATGATGTCTTAGAAATTCGGTTGCGAACCTTATACTTTCCTCATTCGGTCGCATGGCATCACGAAATTCGGCGTGACTACAGTGATTTAGTTGTGAATATTTTCGTCAAGTTTACTAAGAAGTGGAGGGTTACTTCGTATGGCACCGTTTTATACTGAGTCTCTTCATATGCTTTTAAATGTTACCCGAACAGTGAGTTTACATCTTGTAAAACTTATAATACTCATTTTTTTTTTTGGAAATTTCTAACACAATTTTTAATTAAAATCTAGAGAGAATAGACGCTTGGATTTTAATTAGATGTTAAGTATCATTTAATTTCTAAGCAAAAACGTGACAAAGCCAAATAAAGAAACGAAATAATTATAATATCAATGAAGAATCAAAATATTTTTTTAACAATATCAATGAAAAAAGAGTTCTATGATCTGAATTAAATTTCATAAGACTGACTATCCTCCGTAAGGGTCCTCATTAAACAATTCTCTGGTAGACCGTCTATCTTCATTTCCTTTCGTAGAAAGACATGCCAAAGATCCAGTGCGTTATCACTTAGTCTTTCTTAAGCAATGACAGTTTCCTCAAATCCTCTCAACTTAATTTGTCCGCTTTATACGCCGTTCAGAGTTCAGTCTAAAGAATGAGCGCCTTGAGTGAGAGGATCTCTTGTCCAACCGCGACTCTTATCTTAAAATGAGAGAGCTTTGGCGCCTATTCTTGGACTTGAGACTGTAACATCATCAATTTTTCTTACATAGACCAATATACCCAGTACGATATTCATTTTCTTTTCATTTTATTTTATCGTGATTATTATTATTATTATTGCACTCTGTCAACAAGAGGAGTTGCCTTACTTTGGCGTCTCTTCTCGAAAGGCCCTTCTGTATAACAATAGATGTAAGAATACTTCAATCTGAACCAACTGAATTACCTGCAGCAAGCTATAAAAAAAGCCTAAAAACTGACGAGAGTCAGTATTTTATCATATCATGTTTGATATTAACCTGAGTGTATGAAATTGAGATAATTTAGTTCATCAACTGACTTGATGATGTGAATTGGCCACGGTGGCTAGTTTACATCATCAACTCAAAGACAGAACCAATTGATCTTAAAAGCTCTATCGACGTAGCACCACAGTTGCAATAAAAGTGGCTGTCAGTGATATGATAGTCGGTTGTGCCCGGAAATG